AAATATGTGCTATTAGTAGGTAATGCGGAGGAATCAAACATGATACGTGGGTGCAGCGAAGAGATTGTTGGGGAGGGCTTTCCACGCCCGGCCACGGGAAAATGAAGCATTGTACAGGGAAATCCGGCGCAAGATGTGTGTTTTATTTTCTCACGATTATCCTTACTTGCCCTGCTTTCGCCAATCGGTGCTGCGGGGTGTATACAAACAGACAGAGAAACTTAGATATTCTGGAAATCGGAAAAAGCGTTAGTTGTTGCAGGCTGCTTGATGAATGGATCCCGCCAAGGACTGGCCAGGTTGTTGACTTTCTGGCCCAGAGTGACTGTTGCTATAAAACAGGTTCGATAGGTCCCAACAAACAAGATAGATTGCCGACTGGCATTCATTCCTTCCGGAACCAACCAACCCCCTCCCCCAGAAAAAAAGAAAAACAAGAATGGGCGGTTGAGAAGTGGTTCGACTCTGCAAGACGCGGGAGCAAGGAATCCGGAAACCTGAGCCTCGACCGGCCGCCGAGCTCTTCTCTCGTTACGCTCAGCTCCCCTCTGCCAGTGGATCCTAGATGAAGGGGCTCAGCGAGAATCGGAACAGCGTATCTCTCCACTGACACAAGACACGATGGATATCTCCGAGAGCTCAGCTAGCTCTGGACAGCTTGCATTGCCGATGGGGAGCTGGGAGGCGAAAGCTTCATGGCTGCTTGCTGCGTTTCGGGCTCTGGCGAACTGGGCGCTAGTGGAGCTACCCCTGTCCTCCGGGTCAGGGGTCTTAAAATCACGGTTGCCATAGACGAGGCCCCACGAGAGCATCATCATGTGCCTTCTTGTTTGCGGACAGGTATTACCACCACGCCCTCTGACAGCTCTGGCCAGGCACCGGGTGAGTCATGGGTGAAAGTGGTGCCATTGGCGCCTTCAGGAACAAGAGACGAGTATTTGATTAGAATCACTGGAAACCTGGAGCTTGGATAGCTGAAGGCGACATCGGAGAGATTTAAGGCCAAACCCTGAAGAATTGTGGTGGATGTTGATCTGCCGGCAGTGACGGGCGGCGACCGAGACTCTGGCCGGCCCATAATTATGGAGTTGGGAGGACAGACGCAGCTTTGGATCTGAGCGACGGCTGGCGGCCTGGTCTGCGCCGATGGTGCGTTGTTGCGATTGCTACGGGCTGGGGATTGTGGGACGATTATGATACCTTACCTGGGATATTTCGCGGACTCGTAAGTAGGTAGGTAGGTAGGCACCTGGGATGCCTCATTTTTGGGCTTATTTCCCTTCTCGTCCGGTCCCTAGGACTCCCGGCGACGGGGTCTGGGCGGAAGAATCAGGGCGTTTTCGCTACAGCTGTGGCCGGATCCCAGGCTCGATCTCGCCATTGACCTGGATCTCCATCTTTATCAGTAGGGGCGGTCTACAGCGAAGCTATCAATTGGTACTTCTTGGTCCGATTGCAGAGCATTCGTGATCTCCCATGAGGACTGGAGGGTGCATTGATGGGGCGATCCCCGCAGCGAGTTGCGTAGATACCCCGAAGACAATGGGGATGAGTCTTTGGTGGCCCCTGTGGTAGGCACTGGAATGGTCTCGGAGCAGCCACGACGTCACCAGGCTGGCAACCGCTGGAGCTGCTGCCCGTGGCCCCTGTCGCTGCCTGCTAAAAGGCCACTGCACAGCACTGCACCAACTCCAGCCCCACTGCGCCGGTAGTGCAGCTGGAACCGTAACGTCTTCAGACTGCACGCATTCAGGGTCCATTAGTGGGACAGAGTTACGCCATTGCTGGTACAATTGGTAAGTCACTGTGTGCGCGGGCACAGCAGCGTTGTTGTTTACCTCTTCCCTTCCGACATGTGTCCAACAATTCGATAGCAATAGCTCGTAAAACAGTCGTCGTGCTCCAGTCCGCTGGGGCTGGGTGGCTGTGGTCGGTCCACGATGGTTCTGTTGGGAGCCAGGTCACGCGACTTGCCTCCTCCGACGCCGGCTGGGATCCATCCATCCTCGGCGGGCCCCGCCTCTGTCCCGACCGTAGGCCACGAAGCGGTGGGCCTGTTCCCCATGCAACCCCTTCCATCCCAGCAGGTACCTAGCGCTTCCTTCACCTCACCCAGTGCCTCCCGTCGGATCCCTTCCACGGTGGCAGCTTCCCTCGATCACAGCAAAGGCGGGGTGCCTCGATGGCTGGCTGCTCAGATGACTCCCGCCGTGACATAGCGAACCCACAGTGGTGGACTGTGCAGCTCCGTTACGTACTGTTGGCCTGGGAAGGAGGCCACAGGCGCAACTGCCTTCTCAAGGGACGCCCGGGCCGCTGCTTTTGGCCTGGCTGCCATCCCATGCAATTGGCCAATGCTGATTGGTCTGCTCTGTGGCATCATCCCATACACTCGCGTGACACGGCTGCTATAAAGCTCCCCCCTTCCCAGGAATCAAGCTTCAGTCTCTCCCCCTCATCATCACTCTCACACTCGTATTATCAATTCGATCTTGTTCATCATCATTTTGACGATCTTACGCATCACGACCAATCCACATCCATCTACCTTGTTGTAAACAGGCCACTCCTGCTCGACACTGATAATTCTCTCTGCCTCTCTACCTGTCTACTTTGTTCCTACATCCCATCTTTAGAGTCCAGGCTTCTCAAATTTGGTTTACCCCTCCACTATACCTAATCTCAAGAGTATGTTTTGTTTCTTCCTATTCAAAGATTCCGCATCACATCCCCTTCCATACCTACCTCTTACACGGCCTCCAAGCCAATAGATAATCATCCCCTCCTGTACACCTACAATCTCTCTCCTGTTGCATTGCTCTCCATACCTATAAATTTTACTTTACAATCGCCAAGACATCAGTCAGCACGCCCCGTCTTATCCATATTCCCTGCACACTGACGTTGAAAGCAACTCTGACTAACACGTTGCCAGTGACCCGATCTCACAAGGCCAACGACCGTGACCACAAGGGCATCGCTGAGGGCACCGCCTCTCCTGTCGACCACCTTCCTCGCTTCTTCGCCAAGCACGGCTATGCCGATGTCGACCCCAAGAAGATCAAGAAGGACGGTGGTGGTAAGGGTAACTGGTATGTTTCAACCCCTGACAGTGATCGACAATAAACGGCTACTAACATGTCTCCAGGGGTGGTTTTGGCGATGAGGTAATGGACGAGGGCTTTTCTTTCACCAACGCCCGTCGTCGTTCCAACAGCTCCTCCTTCTCCCACCACGTCTCCGATTTCAAGACCAAGTTTGAGGTCAATGAAGCTGAGCCTGTCTTTGAAGAGTCCCTCCATGGACCCATTGACGAGAACGAGGAAGACCTCTCTAAGGAGAACTCCTCTGAGAGCGGTCGCTCGTCATCCTAATGAGTACGCTTGTGTATTACCACCCGGGAATCTGAATTTGATAACATCGCCTCTCGCCGGCTATTAATGACACTTGATGACCGGTCAGCTGTTTTATATTGGAGTTTTGAGGGATCGGACGGCATTGGGGGCGGATTAATGGCTTTCACTTCGGAGCCATGGAATGAACAGAGCCATGAGCTCTTGGTAACAACACAAATGAACTTGCAGATCTCGGGTTGAATTTACATGTACTATTCTATCATACTATTAGCAGCGGGGAAATGACACGAGTCCCTGTTGAAGCCCGCTTTGCAGACTGAGCTACGTCTAGAGTCAAATCAAAGCAAATTGTAACATTGTATTTCTACTCATGGAAATGATCATTGGGCACGAGATGAGGCAGTGAATGTGACAGAATGAGGAGGGGTAAGCGAGCCATTATGCAAAGTGCGACCTCCGCTGGACTTTACCCGTCCGCTTGAATCCCCCAAAACGATGAATGTCATCCCCTGGATTCATTGTGTGGCCGGACACGCAAGACAATGTAAGATGCAGAGAGATATATATCCCTCGCACTAGGAAACGCTATACTCCAGCTGGACGTTTTACCTCTTCGTGTCGTATGAGACTGGCCTCTCGAGATTGGCTCTGAGCCGGGTCAAGCGCGGCCAACCCCGCTCGTGAGATCGACTTACACCAAGTTCCACAGCCACCATCGGTGGTGTGAGGGAAAGACGGGCGCGACACAAAGCTGCTCTTAGTAGGATGCAGCCGATCGTGTGTATCTGCAATGTCCCCGAGTCAGGTACCCTGTCGATACCTCGAGAAGGGGGGAGGGGGGGTAAGATGGGGAGGGCATCATGTTGACGTTATTGCTCGTTTAGTTGCTTCGTCTGATAGGCAGGAACCCCGCCCCGAAGAGGCCGCGTCCACCAAACCTACGTCTCCTATGCGCGGATAAACTCTCTTCGCTGCATAGAGACAATGGAATTGGCAGATCGACGAGCTGGCCATCTCATGAGATGGAAATACGAACAAAACAGAAACGTGACCCCTTCTCCCGCAGCGCATCGAGAGTTGACGTTGACCTGCATGGGGTAACGATAGCCTGCATAAGTACCCAGTAATCCGTCGCTACCGGGGGGCTCCAGGAGGGGTATAGCGGTGCGCCGTGGTGGTCTAGGCCGACCCACAGCGCCTCTTGGATTCTCCGGGGTAGAAGGGCGTCGGGCGATTGACGAATTGTACCTACAGGGTACTCGCATGGATCCCGAACAAGAGGTGGCCCGTGCGCCTAGTCGTGTCAAGAAATTTACCTTGCGTTATCGCGACGGGCCTCTATCGAAAGAGCATCCCCCCGATACTGCTTGTGCTTCCCGCTCTCGCTACCCGGCGCAAACGAGACCAATTCCCCTTGAGTTCTACTCCAAAGACGCAAATCGTCGCTCAGATTCATTTGGCCAAGCCGAATCCCCTGGCGGGAGCGCAGGCGACGGGCAAACACCACCACCAGCGCGTTATCATCCTTTTGCGCCCATCACCTTGACCGCAGCGACATCGTTTCGCAGGCGCTCAAGCGCTTGCTTCACCGCGACAAGGCAAACACTCTCAACTATCTAACCGCCAGCCTCACCCACCGCCAAAATGTCCCTCCCTCCAGCCTTCCACGAGTCTCTCCCCTGTACGTTTCTCCCAAACCCTCAGAACCACACGATGATACCAAACCAAAACTAACGAAAATCTCCTAGACATCGACCCCGAACCCTCCCCCGAATCCCTCGCCGCCGCCCGCTCCCTCATAACCGCCGAGCTCTCAACCTTCCAACCCTCCCCGCTGCCCCAAACAGCCGAGCCCTCCTTCTCCCCCGCCATCCAGACCGAGCTCGCCCGCGTTGCCTCAAAGACCCCCCTCAACCCTCTCTCCCTCTCCCGCTACGAGGCCCAGGAGACCCCCCCCGCCGACGCGCCCACCGACCGCCTCCGCGAGGTCCTCGAGAACGCCCGCGTCTCGGACGCCTACCTCGCCTCCCGCCGCCAGAACCTAGAGCTCCTCGACGCCTACGGCAAGAACGCCTGGCTCGTCGGCAACCACCAGCTCGAGGCCGGCCTCAGGCGCCTCGAGGGGGACCTCGCCGACGCCAAGCGCGAGATCGACATCGTCAACATCGAGCGCCAGAGGAGGCAGGAGGACGTCAAGGGCGAGATGCACACCCTCGAAGAGACGTGGAGGAAGGGCGTCGGCAGGGTCCTGGAGACCGAGGTGGCCGTCGAGGAGCTCAAGGAGCAGATTCGTAACGAGATGAGGAACAGGTCCTAGGAACGCAAGCGCCCCAATAGACGAGCCGCGATTCCTCAGAACCTAGTACACTCAATAGAAGTCGGCATGAAGGATTGGCCTTATAGACTCGATCAGGGTTTCTCCCGCTTGTTCTGCCAGGAGCGGCATTCACACTCTAGATGCATTATATACCATAAACCAAAGGAGACGGAACAATGGGAATTTCATGTGATATATTTAATTTGACTACCTCATGTCTTGATTTCTGATACTAAGGAATTTGTCGTTTAATAGGAAGTTCGGGTAATAGGAGATGAAAAGCCTCTCCTCTGTGAAAAAACGCCAACACGAGCACCATCAGCTGCCCGTCGAGAGAGACCCAGACATCGTTGCCTGTCTGCCTCTCCCTATTAATGGTAGCACCTACCTTTTACCCAACCTTAACCCCCTCCACTTAACCTGATGCGAGGGGATCCATTTCCTCAACCCCGGGTTTGGCATCTATATACTTTGTGCGTCGCATGATATCTTCGACGGGGCCTAGCAGACGTTGGAACGCGCTCTTGCCCAGAGATGCCACTTTGACATCCGACGAGGCAACGATACTAGCAGCTCGGGGAGCGTCATTGAGCAAGGCCAGCTCGCCAAAGTAGTCGCCCTTGCTATAGTGCCGAACCTTGTTATCGATTTCGCCTTTGTAAGCATCGGCTTCGCCACTCTCGAGGATATAGAAGGCGTGGCCAGGGTCGCCCTCTTTGATGATGAGTTCACCAGGGGCGAACTTTCGCGTTTCCAGAGCATCCGCAATCTTGGACCTTTCATAAGGGGTGAGCGGTTCCAGCAAGGGTACCTCCTCAAGGAAGCTCTCATACATTCGCCTTCGCGCAAACGTAGACTCCATAAGAATGCGGCGGAAGGTCACACGATCCAAGGCCCACAGAGTGCAGCCTGATTCGGCCGAAACCACCGTTGCAGCACGTGGCGCGTTGTACATGAGCGCAAGCTCGCCAAAGGACCCGCCAGCTTGAATGTTGCCGACTTGATCCCCCATACCATCCGGGCCAGGCTCAAGCTGTCCAGATTTGTTGACGTAGACATCAAATGTGCCTTTCTCAACAACATAGAAAAAATCACCAGCATCACCCTGGCTAATGACCTGAAGTTCCGTGTTAGCTACCCTATCACGTCCAGAGAAAGGGGATTGATGAAGAAAATTGCCGAGGATACATACCTTGATACCCTTGGCAGGAATGGGCTTCTCTACTAGTGCCCCGAGAATCTGCTCGCTTTGCTCATCTTCCAGATGACTGAACAAGAAGTTGCCCCCGATTGCCTTTTTGAGACGAGCAAGTTGGTCCGGTGTCTTCTCGTGGACTGGAGGCGTCCAGTTGTCGTATGTATCCGCACTTGGCTTCAATGATTCTGCTGAGACCGATGTGCGCCTGTTGACGTTGTACTTGGGAGGAAAGTTATCACTAGCATTCGGTGGGGCTTTGGCTGTTGAGGGGGGTTCAGCTGATGCATCACCGCCGAAAGGCCCCGAGGGGACGAAACTAGGATCGTTCTCGTCGACTTCTTCAGCCAGACTGTGCATCGGTTGCTGGGTGCCGAAAGGGTTGGCATTGGCGCCAAACGGGCTTGAGAATGGGTTCGACATGGTGTGTTTTTGAAGTGGAATGGCTTTGCGATCGACGGTGGAAGTCGGGAGGGAATTGGTATCAACCAATCAAGGGTGGAACGGGAGGCCCAAGACTCTGATGCAAAGATGATGCAGCTATATCATTCGTTACTAGCCAGTTAGCTTGAGTATTCAGACCAACGTCTAATTTTTTAAAAATGTGTAGAAGACGACTGAGCAAGACGGAATTGGACAGGTTGAGAGACTTGAAGTGAGTGAGGGAAAAATGCAACGCAAAAAGGAAGTCTAGTGGAGAGAAAAAATGCGATATGTGCTTGAAAAGGGAGAATCTGCTGCGGTAGAACGCCCGTGTAGCTGAATCCGAGTGTTCGGGCCCAAGGTGCGCTGCTTTAAGGAGACACGGCGCGATGTCGAAGACAGGTCATCGCCCAGTGTATCCTCGAGATTATGTATGGAGGCGTTCGCGGCTGCTGTTATTACGGCAGGATGAAACCTTGGAGGTTCGGTATTTGTAGAGTTTCTTGATTTATATAGAATGAAGGCGACCAGAGATGGGACGTTCAATCGTGACGTGGGGTAGGGCTGGTGAAGGTGTGAAGAGAGCCGAAATCGAGCGATCAGCTCTGGACAATGAAAGAAACTCCTCTTACCTCGAATCTGATGCTGGATGAATGGTTCGAAAGGTAGGCGCAGGGGCCGGCGAAAGCTCTGGAGGAGGTGGAAGCTCAGGCGGAGGGAGCGCGGGGTCAGAATCGGGCCCGGGAGAATATTCAGAAAGAGATGGATTGAATGCTGCTCAGCTATGGTGAGCCCGCAAGCGTGAGAGAAGAGTATAGACAGGCTCCGTCGGACTCGATCCGTGAGCGAAGCAGTATATTAGGAGGATGGGATTGCTTGGGAGTGGCAGCTCCGGCAGCTGTCGTCGAGAAGGAAGGGTTGTTATGCGGCCAAGTACAGGCGTATGACTCTTGTGCGCCCGACGGAAGGCAGCACCAGCACCAGCACCACGTCGCAGTCGAGATAGAAATACAGACGGACACCTCTCGTATGGGTAATGGCAGATGGCAGTAGCGCGGTGACTGGAGAAGACTAAGGCAATGGACAAGACGACGAACTGGGGGGAGGAGAGGGAAGGTGTGAGATCCAGCAAGGAAGGCGGGACCGGGAGAGGCGAGAGTGGGGGAGTTAAGGGCCCTTGCGGCTTTGCCAGAGTCGGCCACTCATTTGATTTTGCCGTGAGATATTTGGGAGGAAAAGGCGGCACTGCGGCAGGTGGAACAGGCGGAGCGGAAGCTTTCTAGAAGCTCATGCGCACGGAGCAGCGAGCGGCCCCCGCACCAGCTTCCACACATCGTTCCATGCTTTATGCTTCCCCCTCCCCCTCCTAGCTCGGGCTGCGTCCTACGTATGCAGTAAGGCTCGGCCAGCTGATTGGCGGCGCCCGCTGCATCTTGGACAAGCAGGTGTCCGTGCGGTGCCGCCTGCCATTTGGAATCCGTGTGTGCTCCCCGATGGAAATGGACGGCCATAACGTTATAGGTAGGATGCAATGCCGTCAGCAGCACATATGCATCGTACTGGCTGCTGGCAGACGGGCTGCACTGCATGCGTCTGGCGCGCACGTCCCGTCTGCATTTCGCATTCTCCGCGGCAGGATTGAGGGCAAAACCTTGGCAGGAACTAACACGCGCAGCATGCTGGTTGCCTCCATCTGTGCTCTGTGTCAGTGGCAGTGGAGGTGCCTGCCCAAACTCAAATCCCGTCATAATCGCGGTGGAGAAACGTCATGCCCAAAGCGATCATCACACATTCCTCGGCCACGTCTCACTGTACGCATCGGGCTCCAATGCGATCCAGAGGGTAGAGAAAACGGCAAGAGAAAATCCTTCCTCGCCCAATTACGACTCTGGGGCCTGCTATCGAGTGACAGACTTGGACATGCTGTCGCACTGCCGGTTGCATCATGCCGTTGCTCCTGTCGCCCGGCATCTGTGCTCCCCCAACAATTAATGTCATCATCCTGTACAACACGGAGGTTGCCTCCACCTGCCCCTCCTATGCAGTTACCCCACAGTGGCCATTCGCAGACGGGCCAATACTCTATTCAGAGCACTGCGAAGCCCCGACACCTCTCTGGCTCTCTGATAGGGGAAGATGAGACATGCGACCCCAATGTAGACCTGCTGCCCAGCCCGGCAGTGTACAGCTTGATGGTCGTTGGAAGCGTAGCTTAGTCAAATCTAGGTTTTGGAATATGCTATGGACTAGGTAACTAACTACCAACTATCTGTTCTTGAAAAGTGATGGAAAGCAAATGTCTCGCGCCATCTCATAGTGCTGATGCTCACTCCCCAACCTCCACGGGTATCGGATAATATGTACAGCCATTCGTGTGGACAAAGAAAATAAAACACATACTCACACAACAAGAAATAAACAGGGATAACAAGTGATAAGCACAACAGAGATAGGGGAAGGGTGACACCGAGAAGAGAAGAAATCGAAAAAGGCAAATGGAAAGAAAAATAACAATGAACATGATGCATGTACAGAAAAGACAACAAGGCCAACCCATGGCCAACAACGCCGAATAATGCACGTCATTCCCCAATACTCCAACGATCCCTCCCTGTTCTTGTGAAATCATTGAGCCATTTCTTTTTTATCAAACGCCGACTCCTGATTATAGCCACCCGTCTCTCGATTCATGTCGTTGTTGTCGTGTCCGATTGGTTGCGAGGGTGATTGTTACTCCCCATTGTGGCACGGTGCCCAAGTGGTATATGGTAACAGCCACAACTGCCGGCCTTTGGAGCTCCTAGGAAAATGACCAGGAATATTACCGTGAATAGAGTCCACAAACACGCCCTATGAATTGACGGCAAGACATGATTCTAATACGCCGTCGATCATATCCATGTCGTGCACATCTGTCCCATCCCACCAAGGCTCAGAGTCGATATCCATAGGGTCTGGGCCCCCATTTGAGGGCCCGTTCGGAAGCTCAAACACTTCGTGCCCATTGACGTTTGAGGTGTACCAATCGTGGCCATTGCTGATAGGTTCTTCGTCATCAACCCATGTGTAGTCGGTCCAGTTTTCCAACTCGCCTTCACGATATCCAGACATGACTCCCACCATAAGGAGTGGGAAGGAGGACATCCCGGTGTCTCCCATCTCCAGAGATAATCGTAGATCCGCCATACTAAGTGGTCCCCGTTCCCTGGCAGCCTTGGATTCCACAGGAAGGAGCCCGTTCTTATCACGGGTGAGCTTGCCATGTTGGGCCGTATCCTCTTCTTCATTGAGCTGCTTCCTGTATTGGCGGGTTTGGACCCAGGTTGTGCCAACGCCAAACCCTGCGCTACCCGCCTCACCTGGCCCGTTACTCCGGGTACGGCTGAATATTTGGTTCAGGACCTCCTTGATGAATGTTTCTGTTGCGACGGAAATGAATTGTGCCGCATCAGCTGCATGGCCACTTACGAGACCAGCTTCGTAGCAGAAAGGCATCATGCGACCACCAATCATTCCGACATCGGGGAACTCGCCCGACTCCACAGCCAGTGGTTGAGCGAACCTCTTCCTAATTTCGAGATCCAAGTCTATCGTGGTTGTCAGTAGTGGCTGGAAATCTTCCTAAAGAAGGTAACGTACTCATATTATTTAGCACGCCCGCGCTTGCAGGCACTTCGCTAGCCGCAGATGGTCTCCGACGAGACTCCATGAAGACGCTGACCATGCTCTCATGAGGATCAAACTTTGGGACATTGGTGTTAGCAAGAGACTGTATTGTGAAACTGCGCAGTTTGAGAGACCAACATCGTTCTGAGCAAGATCTTTTACCCGGCGACGATCTCGGGCAGGCAACAACATGACCTCGCCTTTGAGCCTCCGCTCGGCTGCATCACCAGTAACTGGCTTGATTCCAGTAGGAACAACAGGTTTGTCGTTCGCGCTGACCCAGGGCGCAGGGCCCTGGTCAGGCATCTCCCGAGTAAGGTTTCCATGGATGGCCTCCAGCAGCTGGTTGTGCAAATGGACCTTTTCTCCATTGGGACTGTCCAGTATTGGGTCGATCCGTTCAGAGTATTCCGCCTGGTTAAGGCGACCTGTCCAGCAAGTAAGCAACAAGAATATATGGAAATATAGTTGACGGCCATTGGCTCAGTCATACCGCAGAAAAATTCGCCAATTGTTTCCTTGTATGATATCCATTGTTCGGGGTTGATGGCCGCTTTCAGGGCGGTATAGAGCGGTTCTAAATCAATGCGCGCCGGGATAATCTGGCTGGACTTTGTAGTTTTTTGAATCCCAGCCCCGGAGACAGTAATGGTTTTCGTCGCAAGCGTCGGGGTCGCGATGTTGATGGACGGGCGGCTCAAAGCCGCGGGGTTGATGTCGATATCGGGCATCGCGTTTGATACGGTGGTTGTCTATTTCAAGGGGTTCGCAGGCAGACGAATGGGGCGACAGCGTCGCGTGCGGTGGAACGGCACTGCACGACGCGGAGAGATAACCATGAGATCAGATACTGGAAACGAGTGTCGGAGGTCAATGCGATTGCGATTCTACACTTAGTTCGATGATGCGGGCATCCTGCGGCCGTGGTTTTGATGGCGACTGTTGCGCAGCTGGCGTACAAAGAAGTGTGATAGGATGCTTTGAGGTCGGAATTTTACCGAGACCACACGGACAGGCGAAGAGAGAGGCCCAGGAGTCTGGACGCGAGTACCCGGTACCTGCAAGTGTGCGCTGTCACTGCGGTGGGGCTAGGTCTCATTTACTTCTTAACTCTGAGGGGCATTTTCAGTGCTGGCGCTACAAACACTCAACCACCGTCCCAGAAACAGCCCCTCGAGTCGCGTCTAGCGCGTTTAGGTTACCACCACTATCAGCAGGAGCTGCACCCAGAGCACTCGACTCCTCTCCAGACCTTGCTGTGTCTTCGCCGAGCATTTGCGTTCTTTCCAGCCGAAGAGTGTTTGCGGGTCGCTGCTAGACTTGCTTGCGATCATGCAGCGATGCCACCTCCCGACCGCGTCACCAATGCTATCGACAATCTGATATCGCATCTTATCCCACGAGATCCCCGCGAAGACGAGAGCGCTGCGCAAGAACGACACGATGCTTGCTTTGAGCTTGCGCGAAACCTCATTACCAGGTAGCATATATCAGCCTCCTTAGACTACTGTCACAATGCTAACTGAAACCGAGCCCGGCCACTCCTGTCTCCGCCGACGTAAACCATGCCTCCGACCTCATAAAACGAAAGCTTATCCAGACCAATCCAGGGCAGGCTCTGAGGTTTTCCAATCTCTACTCTAGACTTCTGGCTCTGCCTGTTCTCGACAACAAGTGGGCAATTCTATATCTGCTTTACCAGCTGGCCGACTCTCCAGATCCCAGCGAACCTTTGCCCTTGAGCCCTGTGAAGCCCTCAGCCCCCAACTATCGCGACGCTATAAAGAAACATGGACGAGAACGCGCAAAGCCAGCTGCCGCATCAAAACCCGAGGAGCAGCAGTTCAAAGACGCCTTTCAACCCGAAGGCTTAAAACAGCTTCCAGCGAAAGAAGTATTCCAGAGCAGCGACGAACGGCCCTCGAATGCCGAATCCCCAAAGCGAGATGTAACTCTTAAATCAACTCTGCTGGCTAGCAACTATGCGGCTGTCGACCCTCCTGAGCATGCCATCCTTCGCGATCTTCCATTCACATTTCAAGGCGTCTCTTCGACAACGCTGCCATTTACAAAGCAAGACACACTCCAACTCCCGCCCTCATTACCTCTACCCTTAGTGTCTCTGCTTCACACACTGGCTGAACCCTCTCTTCTCTACCGCCAGCTTGACCAGTACTGTAAAGCTTCGGCTCCGGGACAAAATGGACGGCCACTGGGACTGTTGGGACAGAGCTTGCAGGCGGCTATAGGCACTGAGCTTAGATCATACTTGACTCTCATCGCAACGCTGGAGGCGCAGATTCGTAAGGCTCTTTCGACCATGGACGAGTCCGCACCTTGTGGAGGGATCGGCAAAGCAGGGGTGACCCTGAAGAGATGCGTGATCTGGACACGGGAGGCTACCATGGGTCTACGACTGATGAGCTTGATTGCTGAGGAGTCGGGAAACAAAAAGGGCGGCCAGCTAATATCCCTTATACATTCGTTTTCCTCATCACATGGAGACCCAGTTGTGGCTGCCTTTGCGGAGAGGTTGCTGGCTAATTTCACCCGCCCTTTCTACGACTTCTTGCGGCATTGGATTTACGATGGCGAATTGTCTGATCCATTTCTCGAGTTCTTTGTCCGGGAAAAAAGTTCCGAAAAGAGCTCGGGTAAGGGGAAAATGGTGGGGAATGTGTGGGAAGACAAGTATGAACTGGACGAGGGTATGATTCCTAGTATCATCACCCAAGACTTTGCGCAAAAGGTCTTTTTGATTGGAAAGTCTCTCAATTTTATTCGTCACAGCTGCGGCGACTCGCTTTGGGTCGAAGACTACTCCAAGGATGCATCGAAGGAACTTCGATACGGAGATACAGCCACCCTTGAGGCATGGATCGATGAGGCTTACAAGACCACGATGAAACGTCTGATCGATTTGATGGCCAACAAGTTCCATCTATTCCAACACTTGCAGGCCTTGAAGGACTATATTCTTCTCGGACAAGGAGACTTCATTGCCTTATTGATGGAGTCCCTCGCTCCAAATTTAGATCGACCCGCTGGTGCCCAGTACCGTCACACTCTGACCGCTCAGCTGGAGGATGCTATTCGCGGATCCAATGCTCAGCACGATTCCCCAGAAGTTCTTCGTCGCCTGGACGCCAGAATGCTACAGTTATCCCACGGCGACATTGGGTGGGATTGCTTCACCCTGGAGTACAAGATCGATGCACCTGTCGATGTTGTGGTCACTGAGTGGGGTAACAGGCAGTACCTCAAGGTGTTCAACTTCCTTTGGCGGATCAAACGGGTCGAGTTCGCGCTCCTTTCCACGTGGAGGAAATGCATGACAGGTGCCCGCGGTGTTCTCCAGAATCCCGACCCAGTGGTCACGCAGACGTGGAAATCCACACGCGGTGTGCTGGCGGAGATGATCCACTTCGTAGGGCAGCTGCAATACTACATCCTTTTCGAGGTCATTGAGTCGTCGTGGGACGAGCTTCAGAAACGGATCCGGAATGAGAACTGCACCCTCGACGATATAATCAAGGCGCACACGAACTTTCTGAACGACATTACCCACAAGGGTCTCCTCGGCCCAAAGAGACAACACCCCGGCATCAATGAAAGCGACCGGGCATCGTACTTGTCGCAGCTTAGCGATATGCTCAAGTTCATGCTCGCTTACCGCGACTCGGTCGACGGGCTCTGGAGCTGGAGTGTTTCTGACTTTACCCGCCTCCAGGAGGCTGATGTTCGGACCACGACCCGGCACGATGTCGACGATGCGTTTGGTTCACAAGACACCGTCGCCTCCGAGTTCCCCGTTCTCCAGGAACGGTTGAAACACCTGGGTACTTCGTTCCGCTCTAGACTACAGTTCCTCCTAGGAGACTTAGCTTACCAGCCGGATGTGGACCTCAGGTTCTTGGGTGTAGCTATGAATTTCAACGATGTATACCAACCAATGAGGAGGCGGAGCAAGACATCGCAATCTGGGACTGTAGCGAACACATCGAAGGGGTAGATTGTAAAATGACGGTGCTTGATTTTTTCCGAGGTGCCGTATGACAGTATGATTAATGAATGAGACTGGTGCCTTTTCTTGTATACAGTGCATAGGATCTTCGCTAAGCGCCAAGTGAAATTTCAATGTGAAGCCAATAGCTTGACAGCTGGAAACGCCGCGGAGAAACCATTGCTTGAACGTGACGTTATACCTATAACAGCGAAGCCGCTTCTCGGCACTGTCCTGTTACGAGGACCTGCAGACGCAGTTGTTTCAAGCCCAACCTCGGTGGGGACGAAAAAGATCTGTTAGAGAAGATGTGACAAGATTGGGATGCCGGGACAAAGCTTGGTTCCCAACACAGTTTCCCATGCTGCAGGAAACACGGCACCCAAGAAGGTCCCCCGTGAAACGTAGGTGTATGTATACGCGGGGCGGCCTGCATGGTTGGACAATGGGTGGCTGCCGGAGTGAGCAAAGTTGGGCTGGGCGGCCGCATGGATGGGCGAGTTTGGACCGGTTTTGAGAGTGCATATTGGTACCTGACATTAGCACCGCATGCATCATGCCGGTCCACGGTGTCAGCTCCTGCCGTGGGCGGTTCGACCACGACTTGTCTGAGATGGAAAGGATATCACATCGGAATGTGACCGATCGCCAGGACGGTCAGTCCAAGTAGCCCGTATCGAGTGCTCGCTTGCGTTGGGCCGACACACGATTGGGCCCGTCTTTGTCTGCTAAGGTTTGGTGTTGCTTGTTACTCTCAGACGCCCCCCCGCGGCTGCGATTCCCACGTATGTACATTTCTCTTGCCAAGACTTGGGCGAGTTCCTTGGATGGCCGTCCCGACTGGGCCGTGACAACGTGGCAGGCCCAGCAGATACATCTTCTCCATGCATGCCACGATGGGGATCCTCCGAGTAATCTTTTTTTTGTGGCGCCGATGCTGTGACACGGCTGGAAGATGGGTATTTATTTATATGTATGTGTGTCCAATGTTGTTGACTGTGTACCTGACAGGAGGTGCTCCGCTCCGATTCAACCTGGTCCCAGCCCGACGGGTGGGCGTTTGGGTGCATGAAGGGTGGGATTGGGGCCGGGATCTTGCGAGATTGGGGGTCTCGCTGCTTCCTTTTGGCTCCTGTTCAGCTCTGATGCTACCTGTGTGACGTGACAGCACATTGGTGCATATTGGTTTTGCCGGCCACTGTGTGTGTAGTCAGAGAGAAGTGCTTGGAAAGCATTGCCCAGACAGAAGGGCCTCTCGCTAACTCAAACTGCTTACCCGTCTGATGGCCGACCTGGTAACACCGACCGCGCCATTTCGTCGGAGGATGACTACCTATTCATGGCATGGGAGGGCGTGGAGGCAGCAAATGGGATGGGTTATACTACTACGCACCATTACCTTGGGTAAGAAATATAAGCTCCAACTTGGAAACAGGCACCGGATGGAGAGGCCGTCACACATGCTCCCCCCTGCAGTTTGATCTCCACGAATAGGAAATCCCCCCACAGTGGAAGACGCCGCCCCCTGGCCTGGCGTGTAGGGTGTTGACCCGTGTCGAACCTGACTGGATGGTCGCCGGCCACTGAGCTGATGTTGAACCTGTGCCATTATGAGGATTCAACGCTTGGGCAGTATCACAATGGATTGTGGGCTGCTCTGCACATCGGCTGTCTCTAAGTGGTTCGGGGGCAGGAAGCGAGAACAGTAGGATCAATATTGGCGAACCAATTGGCTGGCGAGTCCCTTCATGGAGCATATTACTCGATTTTGGTTCCTAGGCCCGTGGCAAATGGCATCAAGGGACAGTCCTTGGTAAACGGGCCGGTCTCACGGAAATGCCAGACCTAGACGCTGCCTGGGACCTTGCAGACGCGGGCTGCCCGGATATGCGTCGTTGGCTCCTACAGCTTTCATGGCCTTATCCGCTGTGTATTACTCGTGCGGCAACGACAGGAAAAGGAAATATCGAACCCTGCCTGGCAATGGATAAGGCACTGGGGGAATGTCCGGAAATTGGAGCCGTCATGCATCGGGTCCCGAACATTGCCAGTGATTCTCCTCTGGCTCCACGATCGTGCGTCGGGTCTTTTAGGGGTAGCTGGTCGTTTCTTCCCTCGTCCGCCTTGTCAAGCTGTGTTTTTGGCCCCCCTCCCCAGATCCACAGTCATTTCGGATGCCCTTCTGGAACGCTTCGCTCAGGACCAGGCCATGTTTAAGAGGGCAAGGCAAGGAAACCACAAAAGCCCAAGGGGTGTCTCAAGTGCTGCTGCAAGTCCCCACCGCCCCTGCGGCGCTCTGCATACGGTTAGGCTCGCGCTGAGTGTCCTGTATTGGCTTGTTGGATTGAGTTGATGTGGTGAAGTGCTGGCTTGATTGCAGTCCCTGTTTTCCGGTGAACAGATCCCCTGTCGAGATATCGATGCCTTGTTGGCAGCCGGCTTGCCCGCCTGGGACATTCCCGCTGATTCCATTCTCTCTTTCCTTTGGTCCTTGGCCAGCCAGTCAATCGTTCAATTAAGTCAGGGACTAGGCCTGGGGGCTGGGGCTGGCGTGACGGCGGCCCTCCCGTAGTGCCCGCGCGCGCTTCTTCATTTAGCTTCCCATTCTCATTGGCGACAGCCTCCCTTTTAGTATCACCACTAAACCCGTATTCATTTCCCCCAAAGAATTACTTGGCTACCCAGCGTTGTACGGGGTACGCAGGCAGGCTTCTTACACTGCTGTGCGAGCTTGTGCCTTTCTCACAAGCCGCACCGAGCCCTGGCCTTCCCCAAGCTTGTCTCATAGCTGGGGGCGCGTATCCGCCCGTGTTTGTCGCAAAGGGGGTGTATGCTTGCGTTTCTCGGAAAGGCTGCCTCCAGAGCCACAAGCAAAGTCAAAACGGCGGTGACATGGTAGAGACGCCTCTTGGAGGGGGATGACGTGGGGAGAGTCTGACTTGATTTGTCTCCCTTCTGCTCGGCGTCAGTCCTCAGGCAGCTACCAAGGCAGGCAGACAGACGGTGCGACGCACGACGATTGTGAATGGCAATGCTACGTTGGATTGCAGCCAGCCGTGAATAACTAACAATAGACACTATTTCTGAGGCGATAAGCCCTGGCGGTGGAGTGGCACCAAACCTCCATCCCACCAGCCCTGTAGGCAGACTAGTGGGAATGGATAGGATATCACTTTACCAACAAATCACTAATTGCTTTTTTTCCACACGCATCCTGGTGGTTTACAGCTCATCTTCTCTCACGACTGCTCAATGTTGCCTCGTTTCTTGGGTAGCACCCCAGGCTGCCTGGGCACATGCTGCGTAGATGCCTATTGCTACATGCAACACGCAACTTACGAGGCCCCCTTTGGCTGCATGCTGTGAACCTTACTTGCCATTTACCCCGGGCGGGCCACGATATGCGCCCCGTTGGGTGCAAGAGAGAATCGTCCAAACCCTGAATGCACTGCCAGCAACCTTGATCGTGATGGGGTCGGGGCTGTCTTGGCCATCCCTCACTCGTCGTCGCCTCCTTGCCAGGTCAGCTCACCCAATAACTCGATTGCGTGTGGTAGGCAGAGACGAGGCCGCTGATGACGACTAAGCGGCCGGCATCGTGTCTTGGAGCTCGCCTTTGCCAGGCATTGGGATGCCAGAAGCCTCTGGACGGCAAATACCAACCCCGGACTACCCACTCCCAGCAGCGGTTCCGTCCTAGCACCAGGCTTGGGCAGGCTACTAGCATCCCGCCATGCAACCAGGCGGTACGTACAGGGCGTGTTCTGACGAGGCGACGCAGCGCTGATAGTGAGACATCCAACTTTCCCCAGGTTTTCGGTCGTGTTTTCCCTCCCCCAGCTCGCCTCATAGCTGCCCATGTAATACATCCTGCCGCCCTGCCCAGGCAGACCGTAGGGGGCTAGCGTTTCGGCCGATCCTCTAGCCAATTTCTGATCGTGTTTGCTACCTAATTACCAACCGGGCAAGTCAGTCAGGGAGAGAGAATGCTTTTTCTTTCCACTGGGGATATTTATGCATCCCCTTGATGCGCCCACGCCCTGCCCCACCCCCACCCTGCTCCCTCCTTCCTGGCTTTATCACCCTCTCTCGCCCTTGACTCTTGAATTGTGTGCCTCTTACCTTCAGCTCCCGGGCACCTCCCTCCCGCTTCTTTTTTCCCCATAAAGGCACCAGCTTCCTCCATCTCTGACACTTTTGCCTCTTCCCCCACGACTTACCCAAACTCTTCCCATCACCCTCAGCACTCTTCAACACTTCCTTGCATAGCGACTCGTTGTGTCTGATTCACTGCAATAACCTCGGCATCCCAAGCGAGAATATCACCTTCTCCATTCGCAACATTAACCACCAAGAGGAACTTCCTCACGTGAGCTATTGTAATGTAAGCTCAACCCTGACGATCAGCCGATTTTTCAATGGGACCTGTCCGTAACCCGGCATCTTTTTTTAGCACTCTGTATAACTCGTCAACTACTGTCCGCCAACATGCCTGGCTTGAACCAAATCGTCTCGCCAGTTCCTCTGTCGCCAGCTCGACGAGAGACAAAGTTGACGTCCGGTGATCTCTATGCCAGCCTCAACGCCCTTGCTTCCAAGGGCGACCGACGTCCCGGAAGCCCTCTGCAGGAGGAGTACGCTGTGCCGGCTCCTCCCCCACCAAGCCCGGTGAGCTTCAGGCCGGAGCACTGGCCTAATGCTCCCGCCCTCCGATAATTCCATCAACACTCGGCCATATTCGCAGATCGAATATGATGATGAGAGCACCTTGATCAGAGTGACCGCTACGCTACAATGAAATGAGGGCAGGGTCCAAATTTGGAAGCGTCAACGATGTATTATGTGATTTGTACACTTGGGCATTTAGATTGCACAGGAGTCATTTTCTTTCCTTTTACTTTTTTTTTTTTAATGTTGCAAGAGAGCCTGTTCGACTCTCCTCTTTTGGAGTTTGGGGTTAGGACAAGCACGCAGGACAGGACAAGGAAACAACGGATGTTATTCAGTCATTCACATTAGGACAGCTCTGAGGCTGCGAAATTCCTAATAAAAAAGCATGCTCGGATGAGTCACTTCGGTGCTCCCGAGCTTTAATCACAATTTTCTTCCATCTTTCGAGCACGCATTGCTGAACATGTAGCATTGGAATCATTTTCTTCTGCCAGTGTACGAGAGAAATCCGAGGCAATGGGAGATATCAATATTATCAAGATTCAATAATTGGAACGGGAGTGAAGGCTCGGTTTTGACTGCTTAAATCTACATAGGTTTGCATCTAGTTGTATGAGGAGCCAACTACCAGTGATCATAGATTTGTGCCACCCAGTACATGTGCCCAGCCTGAGCCCCAAAATTAAATAGACCAAGCGAGACACCGACATCGACCCAACATTTTCACTGGAAGGAATGACGACATACCCAGTGTTGCGCGACTGGCCGACTGGTTGATTAAACTGCCCAATGTCGAATGACTAAATCCCCGTGAAGAGCTATGCTTGCCAGAGCCGAGGGTGCGAAATTGCAAAAGCATATGATAAAAACCAAGCATCATTCTATGAACTACCTACTATCAGTGCGTCACCGAGGAAGAGGTCTGTTCTGCTAGAGAATCAACGGGACAGGAAAACCGGCATCGAGGCAGCCTATTACATCACATCGCAGTGACAAGCGAGAATGCTACGGTATCATCTTTCATGAGGCGAATATGCCAGGCATAGGGGAAAGCTGGTGATGCCTCGGGATGTCAACAGCTAAATACTTACTATCCTAAAAAACAATCCCACTAAAAGCTCCTTTCATCCTTGAAACCGATCAATGATTATATAATCTGAACATACTTGCTTGTGATCACCAAAGAATACCTCATGTACCTCGGCAGAGACCCTCGAAATAAACTGGAAGCGAGACTACATCCCTAACTCATTCACTCAGATGTCGACAGCCTCAGTTTATACATCCATGCGAACAGTTGAACTGCTCAAGGGCATGGTGTAAGTCATCATAGGCTTTAAATATCGAAGGATCTGATTTGCCTCGGTTCAACGGTCATACCAGCAGTTCAACTGCTCAATGGTATGAGGTCATCTGCTATCATTGGCAATGACAACAAGGTGGATGTTGTGAGGAGATAATATTGAAGGATTTCTGACTTTCACTCAGCTTCGGCTGTCACTAACTCTCTTTCTTGTGGGAGCATGGGATAACTTGATAATTTCAAGAGCGCGGCTACGTCATTTACGGAAAATAAAACAATAAAAGTTGTCGTGACTCATGAAGGATTCTTAACTCTATATCTTGAGGGTTTACATTGTATTCTGCCTTTATTCGTATGTCTAGTGTGAAGCTTATGGTGTTTTGTGTTGACCACGACAGTTGGAACGGGCTCTCAATCCCTCTGCTCTAGCTACCTACTGAGCTAATTAGCTGGACTGCGACGGTCCATAGTTGCTCTCACAGTATGGCTATCTGGGCTACCTAATAAAACGGTCTTACAGAATTGATAAGAAATTTTATGACGTGGGTTTTCAGGAATTTGATGACTACAGCTGTATGTGGGTGATGGGAGCTCTCCCCCACGTGCTATGCTGGGAGGGTGTGGTGGTCGCCAAGGGGGGGGGCCAACCCCAGCGATCTAGGAGTACGCTATCAGGGAAGGGACAAAGAACCTACCCTTTCGTACGTGAGATGGCATCCATCCTATTGTTTCTGGTGTGCGACCATTTCAAATCTGGTGGTGTGGGCCTCGGCCTGCCTTCTTGGGCATGCCATTCCGTTGTGGGATTGATGGAGGAGGTGTCAGTCAAGACCATGCCGACGGGGTTTCTTGGACACGCGTGGAAGTTGTCGCGAGTCACGAATGTGGGTCTATCCACTTTACGCGCTCGCCAAACGCGATATTCCACGATGATCCACCATCACGACGCGTTCAACTTCAAGGGCGCGTTTAATTGATATGGATGGAGCCCAGCCAACGCCTGTATTTTTCTGGGACATCCCAGCAAAAAAACACTTTGGTTGTTGTTTCCCTCCAAACGCACAAGCATCAGCATTCCCCGCCAGCTCTTTCTTTCAATTGCTTTGTTCTTGCAACACAACTGCCTCATTTATCATTGACCCGAATTCAAACAACAACCTCCTCCAACAGCTCCTTCCACCAAAGATGCCTCGCCCAGCAAAAAGGAGACAGACTGATGCTGGTCTCAGCCAGCCCATCACCCGGTTCACCCGTGTATCAAAGACAGCCATTCCCGAAGCCCCATTGAAGAAGGCTGCACTCTCTGCACCATCGAAGAAACGCAAGGCAGCACCTGCCGAGATTGATGAAAACCCAAGACTGACTCGACGCACCATCTCCTTCCCCCCCAGCAGCGATGAGGACGAAGTGATCGTATCAAAGCGGGCCTGCCGTCGCGAACAGCAACCAGAGCCCACCCCTGCAACCACTAGACGGAGACCAGCATCTCGTCCCTCGAAGCCCGTGTCGACCCCCAAGAAGACAAGGCAGACGAAGCTTGACAGCCATGTCAAGTCCATCCCCAAGGCTGAGGAGAAGAATGTTTTCCCGCAACAGCTGGCCGAGCTTGTCGATCTGCACCGAGCATTTGTCACGACATTCATGCTACATGTTGCTCACAGCAGAAGCACCGCACCTGTGGATGTGCGTGCGATTGCGCCAAATATCTCGATGGCCTGGGGTAAACGCCAAGTCACCGTCGAAGATATACAACGCTGCATCGCCATACAGTCGTCTGCCAAGTATGGCTACACCTCACCATTCATTGTCTCTGACTACGGCCGGGGAAAGATCTGCGTGGAGATTGACTCGCAACAAAATGCAACCGGAATTAATGAAGATCGCTTGTGCAAACAGTTCGAGGAAAGCCTGCGTCATATCTGCACTGAACGAACTGTGGACGAGATGACTGATGTTGATATCACCTTCGAAAACCTCTCCCTTGCTGATCTCCCCAAGGCCGCCATCAAGAACAAGGATCTCGGTCTCGATGCCAACCCTATGCTGGCCAAGGGTCAGCGCACTCTGTCCTCTTTGAAGAGCGACTTGGCAAACAGGGAGCAGGAGAAGCAGGCCAAGCAGGAGGCTCTCTCCAACGCCTCCATGCTGAACCCAGACGGCTCGAAAATGAGCCTCCTGGACCGGATTCGTCTCAAGCAGCTCGTAAAGGGCAACGGGCCTGTGCCGCCGTCTGGCCCCGAGCTTCAACGCCGGGCTGCCCTGAACCGTGTCATGGATGTGTCGGCGACTCTCTCCATGTTGAGTCTCTCCAACCCCGTCTCTTTGCCCAGACAAGCCTTCAGCATGGCTGCTGTGATGGACAGACTCAAGGACTCGCTACGGATGCCCATCTCGAAGGAGGAAGCAACCACCTGCATCCGTCTCCTCGCCACCGAAGTCGCCCCTGAATGGATCCGTGTTGTGGCTCTCGGAGGACGAGAAAATGTTGTGCTGCAGCGCAACATGCAGCCTGTCGACCGAGTCCTGAATGAACGTGTGCAGAAGTTGCTTGGTTAAGAGATTTGTGTTACTTGATTCTATACATTAATGTGTGCTTTGATTGGCGTTTCGGATACCCTCATAGGATTGTTGATTTGAAAGGCGTTTGGAAACATCATCAGTGCATTGTTGGTTTACGCATGTTATTATCTGGATTATAAAGGGGAAGCATTCATGTATTTGCATTACGAACTTAGCATGTTATACCTCACGGCATCTTGACGGAGTCTCGAGGATTCAATGAAAAGTAATTACTCAAAAAAACCAGACCTTCACTAGCCTAATCAAACCGGCTTAAACTGTCAAGCACTCGGGTAATAATAGTTATGTCCATCCTAGGCACTGCTGCACGTTGTGTCACAGCAGTATACCTATAGCACAAGGAAGAATTGCTCCGTCACCACATGTATTTGGCTTGCGGGAACGTTTCAATAGCCAAGCCCAAGTGGCAGGCTGCTCCGATAGGTTGCTGTTGGTTTACTTGCTTGTACTATAGTAGCCTCTAAGACATTGGACGGTCGTCGTTTCCGAGATGTGCTGTATACTCTTGAAGCTATAGAACCGACAGTTTCCCAAAAATGAGATCGTAAGGAGTTGAGAAATTGTTATAACGGCCACAGGAATGGATAAGTTAAGTGACCAACTATCTAGGCCGGCCTTCTCCATGATAGGGTAGGTACATGGATATGGAGGAAGCATTGGGTGATTTTCTTTACTAACCTGCCTCTTGCCCTGGGGGGTTCGATAATCATGAGACAGCAATCTATGAGTTCACGCATCCATGCCCCTTGATATACTTACGCTCTTCCCATACACTGCCTACGGCCCTATGGTCGCGCTCGGAACCGACTTCTTGAGTAAAGTTGGCGGGAGTTTTAAAACCTGTTGCGATTTCCCGATTAATGATAACGACGAACTCAAGTAAAAGGAAAAAGACACCCAAGGCTATATTGTCTCAAGTGACTAATCTGTCGTTCAAAGAACGATGGCCACCCTTTTTCTACCTTAGTCCTGCTCAACTTGCCGGGTTGAGGGGGATTAGAAGATGGAAAAGAATCAGCCTAGCAGCTGCCCGGGATCTGGGTAGGTAGTTATCTGTGTGGCCACTACAAAAGATTGTAACAACTTGTATAAATGATATGGGATGGTAGGATATATAGTGCCGAGCCCATTGATCCGTTTGAGGAATATGATATTCGTTACATAATATGAGACAGAGAAGTGGGAAGATCTGATAGGTATTATCGGTCCTGTATTTATTAGGGCTTCTTTTCTTTTCTTTTCTTTTTCTTTTTACTTTTCTTTATTTACTTCTCCCACAAACTAAATCATAGTCTCTAGGTTTCTCCTTCGCTGCGATGCGATTGCCTTGTTGTTTTATTTCTAAATCGACTTCACGGCTTTTCTTGAGGTATTTGTTGTTCTTTTTTCGCCATGAACAAGAGCATATCCCAAGATCAGGCAACGCGTGATGTAGTTTGGGATCACAGTTTTAATCTCAAACACAATTAGCGGTCTATACCCAAATCTTCCACTCTAGAAAACTCTTGGAAGGTTTGGGTATAGACCGCTAATTGTGTTGGAAAAAAACTGTTGTCCCAAACCACATCACGCGTTGCCTGATATTGGGTATAATCTCTTGCTTGTTTCTGCTTCGAACAATTATACTCTATGTATAATGTATGATTCATGTAAAAGGCAAGCTATAACATTCTAGACTGTGCCAAACGGTATCGAATACTGGATGCCGGGTACTCTCCTCCAAGGCTTCCCGACCCCTCGCCTAACGACGGTTCGTACACTGTCCCGCGCTGTTACGCTCGGTTTCGTGAGTGCGGTGTAATAGTACGCTTGCTGTCGCTTTCTGGCGGGGCGCGGCGTAACGCAGCGAGCCGGCGGGTGGCTTCTGCATATTCCTTGACTGCCGCCACGCCACAGAGCCGGGCAAACGAGGCTGAGTAGGGCGATATGAGGCCTCGGTCGAGGAGTTCCAGCAACAGCCGTTCGCTCTGGAATTCCGAAATGAGGAAATCATTTATTGCCTGGGCCCCGACAACCCCAGCGTGAGAGGGGGAATGTTCATAATACTTGCGAAGAAGGAAAAAACAAGATTTCTGTAACAAGACCGGAAAGTATATGAACCGCTGGGGATGCTGAAACCTTGAAGGGAAAGACGTCCGGTACTTTGAAAAGGAGGAATATGACAAAAACCTGTGTCAAGAACCTGCCGAAGTACTTCAGATATGTGTAGTTGATAGGAAACATCCCAAGTCGTAATAGAAAGCGGTCGAGAGACTCGGCCCAAGGCGCCGGTTGAAGACTGTGAGCTGGGTAGTGTTGCAAAAGGGAGATGGCGACGTCGTCTTTCCCATTCCGGATTGCAACACATAAAGGGAGATGGCCATAAATAAGTCCCATCGCATTGGCTCCTTGGGCCAGACTTTGTTCCACGCCTGCCACGTCTCCAGAAAAGACGGCCTCCTCCAAGAGGGACTGTGCTTTGGGCTAATGTTGCTTCTGAGAGCTTCTCCTGCCAGTTATCTCATTCAATGGTGATTTCGTGAGCAAATTGAAAGAGGACATGGTGACTGTAGCTGCGCACGCTTGTTGTTCCGTTGACATTCGCTGATGCTTCCTTTCCAGCGCTGAGTGTGTTTTCTTGCTCCAGTGTCAGGAACCGACCGTATCTTTCGCCCTCTACTGCTTTATTAAACACCAGATGCGACATTCGACTCGGCCTGGGCTCAGCCACTCTTCAACTAGGGTCGCGTCAATGGCGATCCATGTCCGTGTCAGCAGGCGTAGCTCAGCCTCTATGCAATTGAGCTTTGACGCTGTGTAAGCCTCGCCATTGACGGGCATGGCGCCTCGGGATAATTCCCACCGATTATACCACTGATGGATACCTCCTTGAGTAGACATTATTTACAACTCTGCATCATCTGATTCCCTCAGAGTTTCTGAAAATATGCCACTAGACTACGGTAGCTGTCGCTGCAGCTTTCAGCATTTTCGCTGCGCCTCCGTCTTACGCCGCAAAAGACGGGATCTCCTCAGACGAGGAACAATTGTTTCATGATTTATACTTTTTTCTAACTTGTGACCGTATCATAATGTGGCATGTTAGTGAGAGATGCTGTTCTGGATTAGGTTCAATGGCATGGAGTAGAGTGAAGATTGGCGCTTAATACATGTACATTAAACCCAGGCTAATGAAAATCTTCACATACTGGACCTGAGGACATACTTGGTATCATCCCTTTATAATCTGGCTCTGAACTAACCCTGCAATTTTTGCGGTAACACTGGGAAGACCCTCCTCAATTGTTAATGGAGCTTGGAAGAAATGAATCTTCAACATGGGCGGAATGCTACTGAACGCGGTCTATCATTTCGAGTACAAAGCTTCCCCCCCTTGGTATTGTTACTCTTTTTCTTTTCCCATTCTGTTTGTTCTAGAATTTGCCATTAACCCAACTTCCATTATCTAGACTGGCAAGCTTGTTGCAGTTGATATCGATTCTCTTCAAGAGGATAAGAACACCGTCTACCAAGCCCATATTGGTATCTCTATTATTGATGCTCAATCTCTGCTTCATCCTAGCCCCGACAATCTTGCAGTAATTGAATCCCATCATCTTGTTGTTGGAAGTCCTAAATTCGAAAGAATAAAGGCTAACCGATTCCTATTTGGAAATTGGGAAAATGTACCTCGGGAGGATATTAAGCAACATATCAATAAAATACTTCAAGGCCCTGAAACAACTCTTGTATTCCATGAGGGAGGCCGAGAGATCTCGGTACTCGAGAGACTTGACGTCCAACTCAGCCAGTACAAAGTTATTGATACGACAACCTTGGTACGGTCACCGGTACATCCACGTTACACATACTCGCTAGAGGCGCTACTGGAAGAACTCGAGATACCTTTCGCGAATCTCCATTCTGCTGGGAACGACGCACACTTCATCCTCAGGGCTCTGCTGATGCTGGCTGTCAGATACGCTGAAGGCCAGCAAGAGGCGAATCTTCCAGACTGGGTACAGACGGCCCGAGAGATTTCCCAAGCCCCGAGGCCACTGACAAAGGCGGAGAAGAGGGAAACAACAGAAGCCAAACGCAAGCCTCGGAAAAAGAGTAACAAGAAAAAAAAGCGCGGAGGCGTCCCCGCTGCCGTCACCGAAGAGGCGAGAGGAGAAACCCCAGGTGCTAATACACCATAGATATCCTTTTGAGGTTGGTTTGCCTGCAATTGAAATTATATATCCACAGGCTCGACAGCAGGTTTTGTCGTACTGGTTCAAAGAAGCTGCCTGCAGCTAACAAGGAATCTGAAAGGCTCAACGCTGAAGTTTCATTGCACAGTTTTTCCAAACACGCCCCCTTGGTACGGGGCCGATTGCGGTTGGGCCGGTGACGACCAGCGAATACCGACTGTTTTACGCTTTTCTATTTATCTTTTGCTGAGATTTTGCCTGGATATTGCCGCAGGCTGAGTACACGGCAATGCGTTGTTTTGCATATTTGAGAACACCTGTTGGGGCTGACAACTGATAATTTTATGGGCTGCAAACCATCCGGGGCTTCGGAGCCCTCATGCTGGTAGCGATCACTCGTGTGTTGGAGAGAGTTCATTTGAGCCTTTATGGGAGGCGAGACTTCAAATCGATAGTGACGTTGCCCCCTAGACTGGAAGGACGAAAGCTTCGAGGGTGATGAGAATTGGCACCTGGCAATGAAACCGGTACAGTTATCAACGTGTTGTGTAGGGTAACTGTCGAGGCGTTGGCTAACTGGATGGTGATAGAGCCATTCGAGGGTATCACTGTGGTTACCGTCGAAGGGATGAAAGTGCTCTCAGCTCGCTGGCGGATAGCACCTGGCGAGGAGGCCGGGCTACTGTCCTGCTCTATCATCTCCCTAAGCCCTCGGCCATGGAACACATCGCGAAAATAGAAGCCATTTGAACCAAAGTATTGGAAACTTTTGCTGACAATTATTTCAATCTGAAACGCCTCCAGATTGACCACCAGCCTACAATGAGATTTCTGGGCTTCTGCTTTCCTAGACAGACGAGTGTCCTTCCGTGCGATACGCCTCCGCCCATATTAACTTCCCGTTAATCGACCCTGAAGCTTCCTGTGGAATATCATTACCTAGGTAGAGCCAAGTAGGCAACGGCATGGTAGAGCCCACCATTCCCCCTACTTAGAACTAGGCCTCGGACACCATTCTAATATCGAGGCATAATTCCCTTACCACAAGGAGAGTATTTCCATCTAGCGTCAGATATCCGGCCACTTTCATCTCCGTTGGCTTAACTCTAGATCACGTTCGTTCGAAGGCGAACCAAATCGCTTCAGAGCTGGCCTGTCTCCGTCCCGCGCCCCAAGAAGATTTCCACCATGTTTTCCATAGCTTGGTAGAAGATTCTGCCTGCCTGCCATTGGATCTTTTCAGGTGTCTCTTCCATTGGGAGCCAGTCTGAGAGAGTCGGGAGTATGAAGGATCTATTGTGATATTCCTTGGTGTAGTGTTCACTCGCGAGAAAAACGGAAACTCAATATGATAGAGCACTGTGTATGTACTATAAACAGCCTACGATGAAGATGCCATACTAAAATCGACACCATCGCATGAATAAACTGCGGATCGGATCATACGAATCACGTAATTCGGCCCAGAGCACCAGTAAGTTGAAATGCTTCAGTCCACTTACGATCTACGCCCGGGATGATCATTTGAGAAATGGCCGCCAATAGGAGAGCCTCCTTTTCGCAGGTGGGCTTTATGAGGATACTCAACCAGCGCCAAATACTTGTTTCGAAACAAAGGTCTCGTGTATTATTCAGAAATCTCCAAATAGGGAAATGCCGACGATGATACGGAAGTCCCTCCTGATTGATTATTAGTGGTGCGAAGTTGAGGCGTAAGGCGGAGCACAATTGACTGTGCCTCACGATGGTTACATTGGACGTCGAAATCCAATCACATCATCCTCAATCTGGTTTATCTTAATTAATTTGATACAACTAAATGAGCAGTATGCATATGTGATTGCTTGCATTCGGCCTGTGTTCTAATAATACAATCACATCTATTCCGGTTTCCCTACGATCAAGGGCGGAGACTTCATTAAGACCAACGCAATTGCAACGTTAGCCCCTGATATCTCTACAAAAAGTCCTCCTAGAGCTACGAACTACCAGGTTCAGCGTAGGTGAGATCCTAAACCTCTCCAGAAATAAACGATATACGCGCAAAAACGATTGCGAATTTGCAAAATGATGTACACCAAAAATAGCTGACAACCCCATTGCTCAACTCTTCGATTCAGGCCAACACTACATTGGACAAGTATATATACCATGTGTTAGATCTCTCCATTTTGATCTATCGCCTTGGCAAGAAGCACTTACTACACAAACCATCATTACTACTTTCACAATTCGTCGATATTCTTTATAGAACTCTGAGCCACCCTCGCCTATACCCCTTTTCTTTCTTCATTTTCATTTTCATTTACTTTCTTCTTTTTGTTCTTAGCTTTTCTTTTGTGTGTTGAATTCATCATGGTTTCTGCCGGACAACTCTGTTTTTCCGCTCTTCCACTTTTACTTGCCGCTTCCAGGACGGTTGTTGGCTCTGAGCTTTCCGACAATCTTGTAGCCCGATCTGAGCTTCAGGCTCGGGACGACCAGCCCCATCTCGATACCCGTGACGATGATGCCAATCTCGGGCTGCGCATGAACGACGGGGATGATTTGTTCCTCCAGTTGCGTGAGCTAGAGACGCCCGACCTTCTCGAGACGCGGGCTTCAAAGGCAAAGGCCGCGGCGAAGAAACCCGCTGCATCCTCGAAGAAGCCGGCAGCAGCAGCGAAGAAGGCCACGGGTGGAAAGAAGAGCGCTGCTAGCAAACCCGCTGCGGGCAAGAAAACACCTGCTGCAGGTAAGAAGACACCTGCTGCAGGTAAGAAGACACCTGCTGCAGGTAAGAAGACACCTGCTGCAGGTAAGAAGACACCTGCTTCCAGCAAGAAATCAGCCGCCGGCAAGAAGTCTACCGCTGGTGGCAAGAAGTCTACTGCTGCTGGCAAGAAGACCGGTGCCAGCAAGAAGGCAACGTCTGCCAGCAAGAAGACTGGTACCAACAAGAAGTCTGCTGCTGCTGGCAAGAAGACCGGTGCCAGCAAGAAGGCAACGTCTGCCAGCAAGAAGACTGGTGCTAGCAAGAAGACTGGTGCTAGCAAGAAAGCTACTGGAGGGAAGAAGTCAACCACTGGTGGAAAGAAGACCGGCCTTGGCAAGAAGTTAACTGGTGCTGCTAAGAAGGCTACTGGTTCTCTCAAAAAGGCCGCTGGTGGAAAGAAGTCAACCGGAGCTAGCAAGAAGACCGGCACCAGCAAGAAGGCTACAGGTGGAAAGAAGCCAACGACTAGTGGAAAGAAGACTGGCATCAGCAAGAAGTTGACTGGTGCTGCCAAGAAGGCTACTAGTGCTATCAAGAAGGCCACTGGTGGAAAGAAGTCGGCTACTGGCGGGCACAAGTCAGCAGCTGCTGGCAAGAAGACTGGTACTAGCAAGAAGGCTACTGGCGGACAGAAGTCAACTGCTGGTGGAAAGAAGACCGCTGCCAGTAAGCCTGCTGCTGGCAAGAAGCCAGCTGCGGCTGCTAAGAAGACTGGCACCAGCAAAAAGTCTGCTGGCAGAAAGTAGACTGCTGTTAGCAAGAACACCGTTGCTTGTTGGTAGCTCAAACTCTAGGGTTGGTAGCTCATCCTCGGAACGGAAACAAAGGGGACGAGAGGCCGAAAGTCGACAGGTTTCGGGGTCAAGCCAAGACGATCGGTTTTATTTGGAAAGAAGATGTGTAGGTAGCCGATCATAATGGCACAATATACCTACCTAGAGCCGAATGAATCGGTTGGCAGGGGGTAAGAGGGGAGGGGGTTAGGACAACAAAAATGCTACTGATAAAGAAGCATTTGCCCAGGCGGCGATGAGGTTGAAACTGTACAATAGGAATTGAATGACTTTTTGATAGCTAGAAGCAGCCTGGAGATTATACTTTGAATTGCAAAACCATGATGCATTTTTAATAGCATTTGTTGTCCCCGTAGGCGCGTCTAAGACCTTCACTTTAAGATGGATGGAGACTAAGAAGTAATAAGGGAGTACTGGGGGATTAAGGCACGCACATTGCATAGGGAGTTGTTCGGATTCACATGTAAGCGACTCAACTGCCTTTAGAGGCTGCACATTCTGATGAGTACAAATGTCCACTCGTTTCAACTTCTTCGACTCAAATTCTCTGGCATCTAGGGGGAGCAAGCCACGGCTCTAATAGAAACACAAATGCCGCCTTTTGGGGTACTGGCTTGAAGGGAGGGGCTTGTACGTTATTTAAGAACCGCGTTAATAATAAGTACTTGTAGATATTACATATATTGGTGTTGTTGAGATGTAGATCCAGAAACCACACGAGTCGAGGACTATTGTAGATTGCGAAGGCGGCACAATGACGGCTCCTCTACGTTAATACCATCGTCAGCATCCAAATGCAAGCCACGACATGCCAAATTCCCAACTTGCATATTCATACCTTGTTGGGTCAGTAACCTCCGTAATGCAGCTTTAGCTTAAGGCAAGCCTCTGACGTATTCAGGCGAATAATGTACTTATATGGATTAATATTTGTTGGTTCATGAAATCCTTCCACTTCAGCGAGGGGTCTTCGTTACACAGCTCTCCCATGCACCCAAAATAGACGGCATCTTTATTTCCTGCTTCTTCAGTCAAGTCTGCAGCCGTGAATGTCCTCTGCAGAGATAGCCTAGATTTTCCCCTTCAGAATATCTCCCCTCAACCCCCTAAAAACCATTACTTAAGTACACGCGGCTTATGGCTTAAATATGGCGGTCTCACAGGTACTAGAACGGGGAAGATCTTGGCTATTAGCCGGCTGGCATTGATTTCGAGACTCTCAAGCGTTATATGTGTACTTATTTTTGAGTCTACGACCGATATTATTAGATTATTAAGGGTTAATAATAAGCATCTAGAAATACTAATATACTAAGTCGTCTCAACCCTTGGCTGGGTGTTGATCGACCAACCCGGAAGTCGTCATGTCATGTCCTATAAAATGCGCGCAACCTTGAGTACTTGCAGACGAGACAGAAGCTTGATCTGTCAAGTCCGCGCCATCTCGATGCATTGATAGGAACAGCTTGTGGGTTAGGGTTCAGATTTGGGTTGGCAGTCTGCTCTGGGCTTCCTCCCCTGATACGGAGGCCTACGTTCCTTTGAATCACACCCTGGGGGATGCGCGCTTCTGTGTCTGAAACATTTCGCCCGAAAACCAGATGTTTCCGATCTCCTGGGCGGCTGTTGGTACCGACACTGAGCCCAGCCTTGAATCAGCCAACCTGCGCTAAGGCTGCCGAGATGATAAAGACCGTCAAAGATATCGTAATGGCCATTCGCCTGTTTTTTTTAAGGGTTGATTCACCCAGGGAGATGCTTGCTTTGGAGTTCGAACTTCTGGACCGAGACCGAACGATCATTCTAGAGCCGATGACAGCTCAGGGATGGAGCGTTCCGGACCCGCAGATCGCGGACAGCAGATGCGTCCTTCTTGGCGAGCACCTGGCGATCCTTGCCTTTACGACAAGCAGGCCGTGGTCCACGACCAGGGTTCTCCGGCGGCAACGGTGGCAGCAACGGTGAATGGAGTTGAACTTGGGCGGCTCAGACACAGTATAAGGTGACAATATGCTCGATGCACGGGAGAAGAACCTCCGCCCAGCCTGTTGCTCTACGACAGGTTGTGCGTGCTAGTGCAATTGGCCATGAAGCCTCGAAGAACCTTGGCAGTGGAAATCTTGGATATGCTACGTAGCCCCTAGATTGCGCGGTATGCAGGCTAGGTCTGTTAGTAAAAACGCAATTCCTCAATGAACCAATCTTGGATATCAATGATATTCTCCCGCTTTTCCCTCTTTGGGGAGGATGGCCTAGATTATGCGACAATCTATGCCGTCGAAAAATTGCCCAGTCCGTTAGCTGGCACTAGAGGAGAGGCCTCAAGCACCTAGAAGGCTAGAATGCATGTGGGTGGATTGGCTGGGGCCACAGTGGTCCCCCACCAGCTGCCAGGCCCTCCCAGACCCTGCGCTCCCCTGAAGAGACAGGAAAGCTTGTGTCGGCCGCGTGGCTCGAAGCTTCAACTCCAGGCTTGTCCGTCACGAAAAGCAGTGGTTTTCAGGGGGCCATCACTCAATTGACCGGTATGACATCGAAACAGACGATCAATCACTGCCTGGTCATCTCCCTTACTGGGTAGTACAAATACGAGTCCAGATGACACCCACTTAAAGGGGAACCATTGGATGCTTTGTACTACTTTTTTTTTTTTTTTTTTTTGTGACAAGCGAGCCTGCAAGACCAAGTTTTTGAGGAGCTTCTTTGCTGCTTTATGTTGGCGGCAGGCAGTAAGAACAATAGTTTCTCCACCGGCCATGATTATGTACAAAACGTGTTCACCGGCTGCCTGCCAAGAGACAAAGAAGGGGCAAGCCGTTAGTAACGCTTTGTCTCGCCTTTCCCTCCATTCTCTATTTCTGGGAGACGCAAAGAAGAACTAGACCAGGCCCTGCTGACCACGGATCCAGCGAGTCGACACAATGCAGAACGCATCATTGCATTGCATTAGAGGTACATTCACATGGTCGAGATGCCAGTGCCGTAGTCCAGAACTCGCAACCCGCGGCGGCCTCCACTGTCCATGTCAGCGGAACCTAGGGCTGACCCCTGCTCCTGGCTCCCTGCCTTTCATGTCCCGACCTGAGGTACGACAGTGTATGTAGACGCTATGGATGTCCTCGGAGGCGGCGGCTAGTAGCAATAAAGGCACCGCTAGGGGTTGTCAGCTCCTCCACCGGTACGCACTGTCCCGAGCCATCGATCGCCTGCTTTCCCTATCCCGTCATTCCACACAGCCGCATCCTTGTCGCACTGCCCCAAGCCTGGCTCATTGCCTGCATGTACGAGCCCGTAGTGAGCAGTACGTATCCATCCAATATCGATTTTACGAACGCCGCCCACGTTCCTTATCTTGCCTCTCATCCCTCCCCATCAGCCACTCCTCCTCTCTCGTCCCGTCTCTGGCTGCTTATCCCCATCCTCACCCTCTCCATCCTTCTTTTCCGGGGCTGCCAGCTCTCTAATTGAGTTCCAGCAAAGAGATCCGGTCCCTAATTTCCTCTGTTAAACTTCTAGCTTCTACACTCATTCGGCATTCTACTTTCTTCGCCCCCCACCAGATCGACATCCGAGATCGAGACGACATTCCTCGCAGCTCGACAACGACACACGGGCCTCCTTACCAGCTTTCTTGCTTAATTTCAGACGATTGCTCTGCGCTTCCCTGTTGGCACCTCCCCAACACAGCAGCTGCACCCTCCTCCGCTATGCTCAACCTATAACAATGGAGAAATCACGATTCGAATTCAAGAGGATGAGCAGCCGCTCGAGCTCCAACTCTTCCTCTCTCGGAAGCGATTCCTTCCTTCCGATACACAGCAGCTTCGAGAAGCCCGTCATCCGATTGCGCACCGTAGTTACACACGGAGTCTACCGCCGAGTCTTGATATGGGCCGTTACCAGCGTGCTGCTGGTTACTGTATTCCTCTACAGCACCAGGGACGGAAGCTTGCACCGGATATCAAATGACACCAGCACCCCGTCGGCGCTCTCCCACGGCTCTGCTGATGTTCCTTCCAACGCCGACTCACCGGCCCCTCCAAAGGTGCATAAGCCTCCACACAACAACGGTATCAAGGAAGAGCACGATGCTGAGACCATCTACCATGTCAATCCTAACCCCGAAGACCCCGACCAAGATGGAAGTGAGAAGCCGGAAACTCCGGAGAGCCTGAAGAGATGGGAGGAAGATCTCGGACGAATGCCGTGGCTCAACTTCAAACTGTGAGCCAATTGAAAACTCCCCATTCTTCTTAGTCGATACTAATGCAACTGTAATAGCTTCGATGGTTATTTCAACGGGCTGAAGACGCTTGTTTCCTCTGCGAACCATGTGCCAGAGAATGCGCGGGTGCCACCTCCACTTTCCACACGATCGTCCGCCGATGAAGAGACACCGTCTCAGAAGCCTTATTACCCGTACAACTCGTCACACCCTGACTTCCGACTTTGCTATCTTGACAGCCAAAATACAATTCCGGCCCCCGATATTTTCGCATACAGTGGCATTCCTCAGAATTTCCCCAACCCTTCCATGGGCTCTTATCAGGCTCTCGGAATCCCGGATGATGTTTGCTTCGACCGTTTCGGCCGGTACGGTCCTTATGGTTTTGGATACTCCAAGCGAGAGGGAGGCTCTGGCGTCGGTCAATTCACCGAAAGCTCTGGCAACGAGCGAGTTTGGGCTACTTCTGGAAAGATTGACTACAACACTGTTGATTGGGCTGATGCGCAGGATCGTTGCTATGAAGCCAACAAGGCCCGATTCCAGCAGGTAAACCCTGAAACCAACAAGCTCGTACCCGTCGAGGGAAAGAAGGCACGTATTGCCGTCGTCATCCGGGTGTACACGGGTTTCGAATGGACAGACCTCGCCATTCTCAACTTCCGAGCTCTTATCAACGAACTGTCGCTGAAATCGGGGGGCGAGTATCAGGTCCATTTCCTTCTACATGTCAAGGACGGGGATACCCCCCTTTGGTCGGATGAGGCGACAGCCCGAAGAGTCGTGGAAACTAATATGCCAGCCGAATTCCGCGGAATGGTAACCCTATGGAGCGAACCCCAAATGGCACTCTACTACCCTGGCAAGTTCCGCGACTCGTATTCCAACCCTAGTCAGAGAGAGCTTGGAGGAGTCTACCGCAGTGGACACTGGCCACTCCAGATCTTCGCTAGGCAGCACCCCGAGTATGAACACTTTTGGAACTGGGAAATGGATATGAGATGGGTTGGCAACTATTACGAGCTATTCAATCGTATGACCAAGTGGGCGGAGCAGCAGCCGCGCCACCTGGCATGGGAACGCAGCTCCCGATACTTCATTCCCTCTTATCATGGAAACTGGGAGAACTTTACCGCGACCGTAGAGCGCGACGCGGGAGAGTCGGGAATCGAACCAGTGCTTGGACCCGTCCAGTTCCAAGGTAGAAAGTCACTTCGGTTTGAAATGAGAGGAGAGTCACCAATGCCTGCATCCTGCGACCCTGATAAGGACCAGAGCTTGTGTGGTGTTGGTGAAGAGGCTGATCTGATTACCGTGAACCCTATTTTCGATACTCACATGTCGGGTTGGGCATTTGGCCTGGATGCCGTCGGTTATCCCAAGAAGGCTCCTCCTCCCCGCAGGGCTGCTATTATCACTGCCTCTCGCCTGAGCCGACGACTACTGGATTCGATGCATGAGCAAGTATGGAGGCACCACCAGACCATGTTTTCCGAAATGTTCCCGGCTAGCATCGCCTTCCATCATGGCTTCAAGGCGGTTGCTGCCCCTCATCCGATTTACTTGGACAGACAATGGGGAGATGCTATCAACGAAGTCTTTAACGGTGGCTCTCACCACTCCACAGACGGTCACGGATGCCCCTTCGACATCTCCAACGAGCATAATCATCGTGGATCTACTTGGTATTTCAACAGCAAGTTCTCCGGGATGCTGTGGCGAAGATGGCTGGGATACCCACAGAAGGACATGAGAGGGAGATACCAGTCAACCCAGGGGGAGGACGGAGTCATGCAGGGCGGAAAGAACCAGGAAGAATCCAGCTCGGGCACCGGACGCATGTGCTTGAGATCCATGCTGCTGCACCCGATCAAGCTGGAGCACCCTTCCGAGTTCAAGTAAATTGCCAAACAGTGATATGTGCTCGGACATGGATCCGAAAATCTCAGGCCTGATTGCCAACGCAACCACCTACCTTTCATTCAAGGTGACACTTCTGTCACTGCACCACGACATTTCTTATTTTCACTCTTGGGGCCCAAAATTGTGGCGGCGTTTTTTTATGTATTTTTTCTTGAGCGGGCGCGAGTGCCCTTGTTCATAGGGGCAATCGTTTTGGGAGGCTTTTAGTGAAACGGCGCATTTTGGATATGGGAACAAACACATAGATTCGGTCGGTCGCACATACATATATACTTTCCTTTTTATGAACATACAGAAACAGCTACAGTCGTTTCAGGGGGTTGGGAACCCGGACCTGGGCTTATCATAATAGAACTTCCCGCAATCATAACCGTTGATCAAACATTTGCTCACGATATATACTCTCATCACTTGCGCGTGAAACTAATATTGTGGCTGTCAAACCTCGTACTAATTGTCAAGGAAGTAAGTCATGAGTCGATCATCGATGAACACCGGACTCATCAATGAGTAGCACACGCACAACTGACCTGCCGGTCGGCTCAAGCAAGCAAGAAGAAGCTGTACTGTATTGAAAGAAATAAAACGTAAACCACCTCCCTTCCTTCATTCACTCATGATACGATACGCTCTGACCCGCCACAAGGCATCCTCGTCCTCACTACCTGACAGGCTAATGTCAAGTGGCAGGAGAGGGAAAAGGGGGGTTTAGATATATATATATTATATATCCATTCTGCCGGTTCTAACCAAAAGACGCCTCCCAAGGTCCCCTCCACCACTCATTCTCGCCCTAGCAGATTCCTTCCCTCCATGCCCAAATACTGTAACGCAAAAATCCCAAAAGGTTGGGGGGGAAAGGGGAAAAAAAACTAAACTCAAGGTATCAACGGTACCACAGGAAAAGGCAAGAGTTGAAAATTACACCTTGCCACCCCTCAATGGAAACTGGAAACCTTTGGTCCCAGAGGTAGAACAGAACGCAGAAGTAAAATAAAAAATACCAAGACCGTAAACAATCAATGCAACATCCAAAAAGGAAGTTTTGCTGCTAACTGATGGAACGACTGCAAATAGCACTTACTACCATGTCCCTGGGCAAGGAGATACCCGGGCAGAGGGGTGGGAGAAAGGAAGTCGCGTATGATCCAAAAAAGAATATGTGAAAAGACATCCAACATTTTTGATGCAGTTCGCTCTGTTCCAGAAGAGCAAGAATAATTAAATAGGAGATTTGTATCCCTAGCCACAAAGCAGAAAAACCCGCGGCATGGTATCGAGGCTCATACGACGCCTTGAACGCCCTGAACGCCACTGCAAAGGAAAGTTCTGAGAGCGAACAGTCCTGTGAAAAAAAGGAAGCTTGCGCGCACTGCTCTGCACTCGGGAGAGTGCTACGCGCTTGTCATTCGGAAAATTCATCGTCTCGTAGGAGAGAGCTCATCTCTCGACAAAAACAAGATGGATTTTACTTCCTCAAAACTGCATCGTACATGCTGATAAGGCCTGTGATGGCAGTACCTGTCAAAACTCCCTTGTAGCCGCCGTATACGGCGCCTGCGAGGCGCTCGATAGATACGTCGGAGAGCAGACCGCCAAAGGTGACGCCCTGCGCGTAAACAACGTAGGAGAAAAGAGCCTTGGCAATGCTGAAGCTCACAGGGTCAACAAGGTACTCGGGAACATGAGAGCGAGATCGGGTGCGAGGGCCAGAAGAGGTGGAAGCAGCGTTCAGGTTGAAAAAGTAGCCGAAGAAGGTTGGCACAATGAAGCTGGTGAGAGCCCAGGCGAAAGCAGGAGACCAGAAGCTACCCGTCAACAACAGGAACATATCGGGCAGGTAGACGGGGTAGTCGGAGGTCTTGAAGAAACTGATGGCGGGAATAGTAAAGGCGTACTTGTCGGCAAGAATTTCCCGTCGAATGAAGTAAAGCTCAAAGAGGCTGACGAGGAAGACAATCGAGTGGACAGTGCTCAGGGAGCTGCGGGTAGCCTCAGTAACTTCATTGATACCGGTCTCCTGGTAGATGGACGACACGCGAGTTCGCACAGCGGTGGTAGAGCGGTCAACAGAGCGCGCAATGTCTGCAGGCGTGGCAGGAAGCTCAGACAGCTGGGCCATAACTTGCTGGGAGAGGCTTCGCGCCGGCGTCTGAACAAGAGCGGTAGTTGTTGGTACAACAGCCGTAGATGATGCGCGGGGAGTCTCGGCTCTGTGGCGCGTTTCTCGTTAGCAGGACTATCTCGGAGAGTGTGATCGATAGGATACTGCGGCGCACGCGTCTGACTCCGCAAAACGCGCCAGAAGGGAGACTTACTCTTGAAGGATCTCCTCGGCGAGCCTGGAAACTCGTCGCTTGGCGACCTTGAGCTCCCTCTCGGCTTCGGTCTTGACAGCCTGCTTCACCTCCTTGACTTCCTTGGGCTCGACCTCCCTCTTGACCGGGGACTTGGCCTCCCGCTTCAGGGGTGAACCCCGGGAACGGCTGTTGTAGTGGCTGTTGTAGTAGCCCTGGAGCTCAGTCTTCCCCGACAGGCGGCTGGCATTCTCGGTGAGGTATTCGTCGAGGGAGGCCTCGAGCTCCGGCTTCTTCAAGTCCTTGATGCTACGCGACGCGTGCTGTTAGTGTGTGTACGGTATGGCAGGTAGCTCGTTGAGCAATGACGCGCGGGGTTTGCGCCCTCGCGAAAAAGGAAAAGGACCCGATGCAACGCGCGCAAGCTCACGGGAGCATCGGGAGGCGATATGCGACAGAGACAGAAGGGCCTGCTCGCAATTGCGAAGGGCGCGCAAGCGGGCGCAGGTGCGAACACGAGCGATGCAGGCGCGCCATCTGCTGGGTAATTGGGGTTTCGGGTACGTACTTCTTGAGGCCGAGCTTCTTGGCGAGCTCAAGAAGATCCTTCTTGAGCTGGGTGCGTAGCCAGTTGTTGGTAGCAGGCGAGGACATGGTTGCGTCTGTGGTGAGGCTGCCTGTGAGGGTGATGACGATGTTGTTCCTAAAAAAGTCGAGTCCCGTCGCGGTGTAATTCAGACGCGGGGTTCAGGTAGACAGACAGTAGGTAATCACTATAGGTAGGTAGGTGTAGGCAGGGAGGAGGTGTGTAATTGAGGTAAGGTGATAAGTGCGTGCTAGTCAACACTGTGCGTGTGTGTGCTGTGCGAGTGTGAGGTGAGATAGCGGAATGTGTTCTACAATCCAGATGGGGGGCTGCCGGTAGTTATTTGGGGGGATTGGAACCTTCTGTTAGGATGTTTTGACTGACGGATTGATGGCGAGAGGCTCTGAGGGACTGAGGGAGGGGTGGAGGAGGGGGCGGTGGCCTGTGTGTTTGGGGTGCTGCACAGGCTGTTGTTATGGGCGGCTTACGGCTGCTGGTTCCATTGTTTACATTTGGCCCCCCGGCCGCCAGCTCTCATTCGCCCGAGATGCCACCTTTACCCATCCGGGCAGCTCTGTCAAGCTCTACCTCAGCAGCGTAGCGCGAATGTACCGTCCCAGGTGGGCAATCCAATTAAACCCAGCAGCTCCCCCATAGGCTCCTACCTGCCCTATGCTATCCATGGTCCTTCCGAGTCCCGCCCCTCGCCCCCGCTGCGGGTTGGGATGATGAGCCCTGGTCATGGTTGTTGCGCGAAGAACGCGTCTCTGGCAGCCCGTCTCGACGTACCATCGCGGAGGGAACGAGGCATTGGTTATTGATGTGCTTGCTTGACGCTGTATTTAGGTAAGCTAAGTAGGATTGGTGTGTACCGTGACCTTTCCTTCCCTTTCCCCAAAGGGATATTTGCCAGCCGCCCATTCCTGTCCCATCCAGGCAACTACACAACGTCCAGGCGGAAAGTGCGACACCGAGGTATGCGCACACATTATTCTTCGTAATAGCCACGGAACCCAATTTCAACCAATTCACTTCTACCATCTCCCGTCACTAAGCTTGCATTCGCAAACGTGCAAACTACATGCTCTACGTGTCATCAACCCAAAGAGCAAACTCCCACAACTTATCCTAGCCGTCCGCACGTGTTATCAAACTAAGCGTGTATATGCCCGCCGCTTCCTTCGTTAGAAACACAGATTCTCGGCACATGGAAGATGATGACTCGCTTGCCTCCCGTGGTCTTTGCCTCCCGTGGTCTCACCTTGATTGATTTCCTCTGACAAGGTTTGGGTTTTGGGTCACTCAAGCGGACGATTCCAGGCTTCATACTCGTGACCTATAACGTCTACTACGCTGTGCGATGGACGCTCGTAAAGCTTCAAGATATAAATATGCCCCGTTTGATCCCCTCTGTCCAATTCGTAGTATTGTCAGCCCAAGACCTCATCCAAGCTACTATTCTAGCCTTCAGGTTGCCATCATCTCTTATTCTCCTCAAAAACAATCATCAAGGAAGCATATTTCTTAGAGGAGTCTCCTATAAAGAAACTACAATTCATCACCCTGGGTAAAGGAGCTGTTCAAATGGCTCTAACACTGGCACGTCCCGTATCCAGGACCCCTCCCTTGCCGCCTCCTCTGCCACCTCCAGCGAAGCCTGGCATACCCCGTCGAAACCATTAAATCAAGCCAAACCAGCGTGGGTTGCACGGCTACTCGACCTTAGTTGAATCAGACCTGCTACAGACGAGTATCTGTCCTCGTCCACGCGCATGATGGAGGTGCTGCTGGGTGGAGCGATACAGTTTGGGTCAAGAGCCGAAGCTAGCTGTATCATCATGGTACCTGCTCTGAAGAATGAAGTATCTCCGCTAGTTGGAAAATGAGTTGAGTTGTTTTTTATCCTTTTTCGAACGAACTATGCTATATTGGTATCCTCACAAGAATTGATGCTGTAAGATTGTTTATTCGATAAACCGTCTACATCATGCCGTCCACCCTTTTCGTCGCCGATTTTACCTCGCCGGGATGGACTGCTTTGAACAAGAAAACAGCAGATAAAATCAAAAATCTTCCGTCGCGCCATGTGTTGAATGATGTCCCCCACTCCGTCCCAGATTTACCTCTGCTGTGTGATATGCGTGCCGCTCAATTCTTCCTCATGTGCTCTTCCCACGTTGAGTTGAAAGCTTACAAGTTATATGTTCCCAAGTCTGCCATACCCAAAATGCATTTTTAGCTGCTATTATAGCCGATAAAGTGTACAGTTCGCTTAGAAGAGGCCGTCGATCTCGCCAGTCTCGGGATCAATGTCAACATTGAGATACCCAGGTGCTGTAGGCAATCCAGGGATAGTCTGGATATCAGCAGCCAAGGCGTACCTAGAAACTGATTAGTAAAATCATACAAGGGGGGGAGGGTGTTCGTACAAATATCCAGCACCGGCAGCCATACGGACATCCCGGACAGGGATGGTGAAGCCGGTGGGTGCACCCTTTAGATCAGGATCGTGAGATAGCGAGTACTGTGTCTTGGCAACGCAGATAGGCAGGTTTCCGTAGCCTTGTCGTGTATATGTGTCTACCTTCTTTTGGGCGAGCTCGCTGAACTCAACAGCATCGGCGCCATACATCTTCTTTCCAATGGCCTCGATGCGTTCGTGGATGGAACCGTCAAGGCTGTATGTGAGAGTAAGCTCCTTGGGCTTCTCGCTAGCAGCGATAACACCCTTGGCAAGGTTGACTGCACCCTTGCCACCTTCCGCCCAGTGGCTGGAGAGGATAGCATCCTCGGCACCTGCAGCGATGGCCTCTTCGCGGATCACAGCGATTTCGGCCTCGGTATCAGTAGAGAACTGATTGATGGCAACAACAACGGGGACACCGAAAGACTTGGCGTTCTCAATGTGCTTCTTCAAGTTAATGCAGCCAGCTCGGAGGATTTCGACATTCTCCTCCTTGTAAACGCCGCTCAAAGCGGCTCCTGGGGCAATGGGGGGACCGCCGCCGTGGACCTTGAGGGCTCGCACGGTTGCGACGACCACGACGACATCCGGCACCAAGCCTGAAGTGCGGCACTTGATGTTGAAGAAACGCTCACCTCCCATTGTGAAGTCGAAACCGGCCTCGGTCACGACGAAACCAGCCTTCTCACTGTGGTCCTCGTCAGGTTCAGTACCAGCCAGCTTCAGTGCGAGCTTATCGGCAAGGATAGAGCTCTGACCAATGCTGATGTTGGCAAAAGGTCCAGCATGGACAAAGACTGGGGTTCCTTCGAGGGTCTGCATAAGGTTAGGCTTGATGGCATCCTTCATCAAAGCAGCCAAGGCACCACCGGCTCCAATATCGTCGGCGGTGACGGGGTCACCACCCCGAGATGATGCAACGACCATGGCGCCGAGCCTCTCCCGCATGTCCGCTAAGCTGGTGCTTAGAGCAAGAATGGCCATGCATTCACTGGCAACTGAGATGTCGAACCCAGTCTCCCGGGTCTGGCCTCTCTCGGTAGGAGCAGTGCCTACAGTCACACCTCGGAGATGACGGTCATTGACATCCAAAACGCGGCGCCAAGTGATGGTTTCGGGGTCAATATCTAGACGAGCAAAACGGTGGATCTCATCCTCGGTGAGATCATCTGGGTTGGTCTTATCGATGCCAAGCTTCTTGAGGCGTCGGAACATGACTGGAGCAAATTTCTTCTCACCTCCCTTGCCTGTGACCAGGCGACGGAAGAGAGGTCCATCCTTCTGTGTGTTCTCGTGGAAGATTCTGGTTTCAATGGCTGCTGCCAGAAGGTTGTTGGCGGCGGTGATGGCATGGATGTCGCCTGTGAGATGCAGGTTGAACTCGTCCATAGGAATGACCTGACTGTAACCACCTCCAGCGGCACCGCCCTTGATACCGAAAGTAGGTCCCTGACTGGGTTGACGGACATTGGCAAAGGTCAGGCGGTCAAGATGAGCGCCGAGGGCCTGTGCTAGACCCATGGTAGTGGTTGACTTTCCTTCACCGAGAGGTGTGGGGGTGATACCCGTCACAACGACATAGCGACCATTGCGACGATGGTCAAGTCGTTTAAGCAGGCTGAGATCGACCTTGGCCTTGTAGGCGCCATAGGGCTCCAATTCGTGGGCAGCAATACCCACCTCGTTCGCAATCTGGGTAATCTGCTTGGGGGTTTGAGCTCTGGAGATGGCAATGTCGGAAGGCACGGTCTCCTGGATATTCAAGGGCAGAGGGATAGTCTTCCTGGACTTTTGTGACTCGAAAAATCTATCCGCGGCGTCGACAACGTTCTGCATCAGCATGGCCACAGTCATGGGCCCAACGCCACCTGGAACAGGCGTGATGGCTGAGGCGACCTCAAAGGCGGAGTCGTAGTCGACATCACCAACAAGTCGTTGGCCGGACTTCTTAGTGCTATCAGGGATGAAGTTGGTACCGACATCAATGACGACGACGCCTGGCTTGAGCCATTCGCCCTTGACAAAGTGAGCCTTTCCAATGGCAGCGACGAGGACATCAGCAGTCTTGATGACCTCAGGAAGGTTCTCAGTCTTCGAGTGGCAGACGGTGACGGTGGCGTTGGCATTCTTGAGCAGGTAGCTCACGGGGCTGCCAACAATGTCACTGCGTCCCAGAACGACAGCGTTCTTTCCAGCAAGGGCAACTCCAGCGTCCTTGAGCAGGCACAGGACACCCTGTGGTGTGCAGGGGATGAAGAATGGCTTGCCGCCCTTCTTGGCGAGCTCACCAATGTTCTTGGAGCCGAAGCCATCGACATCCTTCTCGTCGGCGACAGCTGAGGTAATATTATATTCAGAAAGGTGAGCGGGGAGAGGAAGCTGGACCAGGATACCATGGACCAGAGGATCACTGTTGAGACTACGAATGCGATCCAAGATTCCAGCTTCAGAGATGGATTCGGGAAGGTGAATCAATTCACAGTCAATGGACGCCTGTCATGAGAGTCAGTGAGGGGTTGGGGTCACACACAAACACGGGCAATGCGTACCTCGGCGGCGGCTTTGAGTTTCATACGAACATAAGTCGCTGTTAAATCTCGTGTTAGCACTGGCTGGATTGGGCTGGCACCATGAACCAGACATCACGCTCTACTGAGCGGGCCTGCATCATGCCATAACATAGGTAATGGATGGTGGGGGCGGGGTAAGACGAACTTGAATCGGATCGATCACCAACTAGAGAGGGGGGTTTTCGTGTCAGTCGTCTCAATCAAACAAATTGCGCCGTAGAATAACAAAGCAGAGTAGAAAATAAGCGCAATGGTGCGCGGGCGGATTGGCCAGAGGCGGGACATACCTTGGATGATCTTGAGGGCTGGCTTGTAACGGGGGTTGAGCTTCTGCTTCTCAGCAATCTCTGTCCCGAGCCTCTCCCGGATGTTCTTTGCGATGGCAGTGCCATCAATCTTTACGGCCACCATTGCAACTGGGGAGGAGGAGCAGAATTGTCTTTTCTGAGGCCGCAAACTGTGTCGAAACGGGGAGTCGACCGCACCGCAAGACAACAGCAATGGTTTGGATGTGGTAGAGAAGGAGTTGGGGAGATAGCTCGGGGGCGCTGATAAGGGCTCTTTATCTCGGGCTCCAGCAGTATTAGTGGTGCCAACTCTGCGAGAGAACCCCGGGCTGCAATACCGACGGGAAAAGTGCCGATGGGGCGCTACACCACCTGCAGGCCGGTCCAAGGGATTGGAGCATAGACGGTCGCCTTGTTGGGTTACCGGATCAGACGTGGGGCGTGCATTTCTGCGGTCGCTGGTTCTCGAGAGGTTACCTTTCGCGCTGGTGCTGCGATGACGGAAACGGCCGACAGGCGGAGACGGCCATGACAGCCGGTCACATGAGCATGAGCCTGGGCTTGAGATGTGCTGGAAACTACGACTAGACGTGTGGTAGAAACTCTGTTGTTGAGGGCGTTCCTGAAGCTTCGCCCAGGTCTCACATACAGCAACTTTTGCACGAGTGCGCGCGTGGGACAGGGCGAGACCACGCGAGCAGCCCGTCATCAAGTCCAAGCAGAGGAAAAAGGAGCGTAAGGGGGAGTAAAGAAGGGAAAGGGGGAGAAACAAATCCGCTTCACATGCTCATACGCGAGGCGTCACAACCAGCCTTTGCCATCAAGAATCAAATCAAATAAGTCGCTGTCATTGTCAGTACAAAGTTTGCACCAGAAGCGAGGCCCTTAGTCATGCGCGAGTCTGCAGGGACTCTCATAGCGCAGCCCTGCAGCAGCGCCCCAAGTCGTTGGATGTCCAGACAATAGGCAATTCGGTAGCAGACCATGATGCGAGATGAAAGTGACATGTGTCTATACAACGTATGTAGGAAACAGGAAATTCAACACTTCTTGTTATAGGATGCTGTTATAGGATGCTTGACTCCTCTGCTGGTCCTGCATATAACATACGTGGGACGGACCTACAGCCGCTAGCCCACTCCCTGCAGACAGCTCGGATAGTATCCGCCTGACAACCTCGATGCCGCTTCAGCAGAAAGATAATCGATTCCTTCAACCCACTCAGGGTCCGTCTAAAAGGGGAACCATCTATACAGGTACCTAGGCACCATCTTTACCCATTCCTCAATGGTTGCAGCCAGACTCGGAACATTGCAAAGACTCACATAACCAGATGTGTCATGCACCAGTTGCCACGACCACGTAGGGGGGAAAAATCACCACATTGTGCGCAAGTTGATACAAGTGGTGAGCAGGACTTTCGCCGTCATTTTGAATCATTTCGACTCATTAACTTGGTGCCCTGCCAGGAGCCAAATTGATTACTCGGTGACTCACGGTTGACCTGACTTTTGACCAGATGGATCTATGATTAGACTATGTCCATGGGGGTTGACTCAACAGGCCAAACAACTACGCCGCACATAGTCGCTTTCTGAGGCATTGGCGCCGGGTTGAACAACAATTCAATTCCCAACTTTGGCACGCCTGACGATTCACACAGGGCAGGCTCACCACCTGGCGCTGCAAAAGGTGGCAAGAGGTGTGCGAAATATGACTCTTCGAGACTAGCACCCCGTCGCATTTACGCGGGGGGTGGAGCCGGTGTGCCCCACCAAAACGCACAACCGCCAAAAATTCAAAGACCTTGTAAAGACTTATAACATCGCCGCGCCCTCAGAAACCACCCCGCCCGGCCCCCAGACGAGCCAGATACACAACCCACCCATCATGAGACCTATTCTTTTGTCAGGGCACGAGCGTGCGCTCACCCAGATTCGGTATGTGCCATTTTCATCCCGCCAGGAGTGCGCAGACGGACGAGAGAGCACGATGAAGAAAAAGGGCCCCCGTCGAGAAGGAGGGGGGGTTTCTTGAGCGTTAACCCGGAAGACTCTGCTAACACCGCGCCTCGCGTCCCCCGGATAGATATAACCTCGATGGCGATATCATCTTCTCCGTCTCCAAGGACCAGCAGATTTGCGCTTGGTTCTCTCACAACGGCGAGCGTCTCGGTACCTACCACGGCCATGTCGGTGCCATCTGGACTGTCGACGTCGAACCCACAACGACCATGATCGCCTCCGGCTCCGCAGACAACACCATCCGCCTCTGGAATGTCAAGTCCGGAAAGAACATCAAGACCTGGGAGTTCCCCACCGCCGTCAAGCGTGTCGAGTTCAACGAGGACGGCACCAAGCTGCTCGGCGTGACGGAGAAGCGCATGGGCTACCTCAGCAACATCGTCGTCTACGACATCAACCCCGACGTTGACGCCGAGCAGACCGAGGAGAGGGCCCTCACCATCGTCTGCGACGAGAGCAAGGCCACCGTCGCCGGCTGGAGCTACCTCAGCAAGTACATCATCGCCGGCCACGAGGACGGCAGCGTCAGCCAGTACGACGCCAAGACCGGCGAGCTCCTCGACAACGTCCCCATCCACGAGCTCAACCAGCCCATCGTCGACCTCCAGTGGTCCCCCGACAGGACCTACTTCATCACCGCCTGCAAGGATAAGACTGCCAAGGTATGTCCCTCCCTCCCCGTCAACAAATCCATCCCACTCCTCCTACATTCTCTCCCCCCCACTAACTCGTTATCCTCAGCTCATCTCTGCCCGCGACCTCTCCGTCATCAAGACCTACACAGCCGACACCCCCCTCAACAGCGCCACCATCACCCCCAAGAAGGACTTCGTCATCCTCGGCGGTGGCCAGGCCGCCATGGACGTCACCCGAACCTCCGCGCGACAGGGCAAGTTCGAGGCCCGCTTCTACCACAAGATCTTCGAGGACGAGATCGGCCGTGTGAGGGGCCACTTCGGCCCCCTCAACACCGTCGCCACCGACCCGACCGGCAAGAGCTACGCAAGCGGCGGAGAGGACGGCTACGTCCGTGTCCACCACTTCGACAAGGGCTACTTCGATTTCCTCTACGAGGTTGAGAGGGAACGGATCAACCGCTTGTCGTAAAGGATTTGGTGGGACATGGTTTTTGCTCGTCATTTCCTGTGGGCTTGCATGGTTTGGCGTTTTCTGGGCAAAAGGAGGGGGGGATTTCCGTCTATGTTTTAAAGTAGGGTTTGTTCTGAGATGAAGTGGCAAAAAAGAGGATGGATGGACTAGAGATGAAGAATGAGGGGTGGGGGAGTAGAGCCACCGTATGTAATTCATACCATCTCTTCACGACTTAAAGAAGGCTCAAGAATGCACGAATTTGACTACCTTGTTATTTATGCTTAGATATCTCAAGATCGCAATCCGCGTCCAGTGTCCCCCTCCCTCTACCCTTTGATAATTGATACAAAATTTTGTTTCGTCTACATACCGACCCCCTCTTCCGAAACGCCCGCGTGTAAATTAAAAAGAATAAGATGAATCCGATATCGCGTTCTGATGCCCACCGTCACTATGCGAGAAGCACACGCGCCATTAAGGTGGATTTTGTGCAGTCTATTTCTTCTTTCCCTTTTTGCCCTTAGTGGCGCCCGTCGACTGTGTTGAGGCAACGCTTGAGGCTCTAGACGGCGCTGCTGAGCTAGCCTTGCTTCCTTTGGCAGACTTGACGTTATCGAGAGCTTTGTTCTGTTGAATGGTTAGTTAACCGGGATCGATGTCTTCACGCTTGATGTGCTCTATACGTACCTTAACACCGTTCTTGGCCTTCTTCTTAGCAGGGGCTCCCAAGATGCTGTCCTCGTCATTCTCCTCGTCAGGGTCGCGCTTTGTCTTGCCGTTCACGCCATTGGAACCTCTGGCCGGCACATCCTCAAACTCCTTTACAATCGTCGTGATGAGAGTGGTGCATCGGCGAGAAAGCTCGACAGGGGAGCGGCTGAGGAAGAACCAATCGAACCGGAATAGAGGTGAATCCCGGATCTCGTCTCGCATGGTCTCGTAAAGGTTTTCGGAATCAATACCAAGGCGATCAAGGAGAACCAGCAAGAACCGGTCCTCTTCCTCTGTATAGACCTTCTTGTTCGTGGTCGACACAGAATAGTTAATCTTGAGCTGCTGAAGGGGCACACGGTACTGTTGCATCTTCTTGCGGAGAAGCTTTTGCTGGTGCTCAATTCGTCGGGTGCGCTCCTCGCCATCTTCAATGATCTTGATATACTTTTGGTAGTCCGAAATCTCCTTGTATCGCTGCCAAAATACCTTGGCAAATGCCTTCACCTCAGACGTGGTTCTGTTCTCAATCTCATCGGAGATGCCATCAAGATCATTTCGGCCGCACTTTGCGGAGGCATTGATAAAGGAAGTGAAGTCTCGGCGGCTCCAGTCCCCGAATCCCTGTGTCGAGAGTTCCTCCTTCTCTTGCCTTTCGTCGTCTGTGAGAGGTTCGGCTTCATCAATCACTTTTTGCGCCTCGGCCCGCTCAGCTTCTCGCTCAGACAAGTTCTCCTCTTCGCCGTCAGGGAGCGGCACCTTGTACCCTATTTCTTTGCGGTAATAGGCTGTTTCCTTGTCCTGAATTTCTCGCAGTCTGGCTGGGTAGAACTGGTAGTCATGAATGGCCACCTGTCTGGGTGCACGAGGGGCTTTGGGCTTTGCATCAGCCTTGGGATTCGGGTACATCGCGCTTCGGAAATACTTGTCCATCGAGTATGACTGTTCCTTGCGCTCTCGCTTGGCCGGGTTGATCCAGTTCATGCCAATGTCCTTCTTGGTGTTGGCAAAATTTTCGCCGTTCCATTCATAAGCTGATTCTGAGCTGAACTTTTGCAAATCATCAATACCGAGTTTCTCATACTTGGCGTTCAGCTGCTTGGTACGGTCCTCTCCGGATGCAAGAATGGCCTCGATGTCATCATCGCTCACATCCGCACCGTCTTCTTTGGCGCCAGCCGCACCCTTGGACTGGAAAACCTTTTCTGCTCCATGCTGAATCATAGATAAAAGCTCATCCTTATTCGCCGCAGCCTTCGCCGCGTTCTGGGCTCTGCCCTGTTGAATAACAAGCTGATCCAGCCGCAGCTTTTGTGCCGCTCGTTCCAGAACTTTCTCCTCAATTGCATTGTCGGTTACAAATCTGTATACCACAACTTGTTTTGTCTGGCCAATTCGATGAGCACGATCCATAGCTTGAAGATCTGCCTGGGGGTTCCAGTCGCTGTCGTAGAGAACAACAATATCGGCAGTCGTTAGATTGATACCCAAGCCACCAGCTCGAGTAGTGAGAAGGAAGATGAACTTCTCGGATCCGGGCTTGTTGTACTCGTCAATGGCAGCAATTCGGTCCTCATGGGCGGTACCACCATCGATTCGGCAGTACTTGTACCCTCTGAAAACACAGTAATCTTCAAGAATATCAAGCAAACGACTCATCTGGGAGAAGATGAGAACTCTGCTGCCTTGCGTCTGCAGACGGGCAAGGAGCTTGTCAAGCACCTTCATCTTGCCGGCATTATAAACCAAATGTTCATCCGTAGTATAGGGAGGACCAGGCTCCGCACCCTCAAACAAGTACGGGTGATTGCAACACTTTCGTAGCTGCATCACGATGTTGAGCAATCGGGTTTTGGACTCACGCTTTCCTCCAGCACCGTTAACCGCGTCGATGTCCTTCTCAAGAATCTTTTGGTACCATTTGACTTGCATGTCTGACATTCCAAGGTACAAGTTGACTTCTTTCTTCGGAAGGAGACTTTTCTCGACATCGCTCTTGACACGGCGCAACAAGAACGGACGCAAGACTCGATGCAGTTGTTGAACGACAGTATCCTGGTCGCGATCGTCTCCAGAAAACCACTGGTCAAATGCCTGGGGATCACCGAAGACATCGGGGAGGAGGAAGTTGAGCAGGGCCCATAGCTCATGCAGATTGTTTTGGAGAGGTGTGCCGGTAATAAGAAGTCGATTCCGGGACTGGAACAGTCGGATCACTTGCGACAGCGAGGACTCTTCGTTCTTGATTCGGTGAGCCTGTAAATCATTCGGTCAGCGGTATACTCAAGGTCTATTAGTAACCAGAACATACTTCATCAATGATAATGTATTCCCATGCAAACTTCTTGAGGTGGCTTTTCTCTCGTAGCACCATCTCATAACTCGTAACACAAACATCAAATTTTTCATCGACGAGGCGTTCGTTGATCAATTCATGACGCTCTTCCTTGGCACCCTGAAGAACAAGAACATTCACCTCCGGAGTCCATTTGGCGAACTCTCGCTTCCAGTTGTCGAGCGTAGATTTAGGCACGATGACCAGGTGGGGTCCAGTGATCCCAAGAATGTGCCTCAGATAGCCCAGGAAAGAGATTGTCTGAAGGGTCTTTCCGAGACCCATTTCATCGGCAAGGATACCCGAAATGCCATTTTCATGAAGCGAAATCATCCAATTAAGGCCGGCAACCTGGTAGTCTCTCATGGTGCCTTGGATAAACGGTGGTGATTCTCTAAAGACAACCTCCGCAGCGCCACCTCGTCTCTCGTCCTTGAGCAGCTCCGCGTCTTCCTCAGCCTCGGTGCGGCGACGTCTATCGCTCGCTGCGCCGCCTTGTCGGCCAACACTCTTCTTCCTCTTCGTTGCTTCGGCGTTCTGGCGATCGATTTCGGTCATGATGTCTCGAATCTTAGGGTCCGGGTTTGTCTCAATGAAATGCCTAAACAAGTCCGTAAGGCCGAGTAAGTAACGGAATCTTCGAATAGTATCGTCCTCCTATCAAAAACCACATCATTAGCAAACAAACTTTGATATTAGAGCGCTCAACCATTGCCTACCTTAGATTCACCAAGAACATCGTGCTTCTTGCCGAAAATGCTCCGCCGAAGCTGATTAGCTTCTGTGCGGCGCTTACGGCCATCACCCACAGGCTCGCCGGCAACACTGCTTGCCGTGGTGTTTGGGTTGGTGTCGGAGTCCGATATATCGGGGGTATCAACATCCTATAGAACAAATGTCAAACTGCAAGTCTCTAATCTCAATCGACGGAGCACACTCACCATTCCCTCTCCTTGGCGACGATCAGGCACGTCCGACATAGACGCGTCTACATCAGTATCCGCGCCATTGGACTTTGATCGCGGAGGCATTTCGAAAGACAGCTTCCAGAAACCTCTTAACGCGACTTAGCGTCTGGAAGACGCGTCTATACAAGATCTAGTCGAATAAGGAAGCGAAAGAAATAGGTTGAAGGTTTTCGGGATGCTAGGTTTGAAAGTCGGCTTGCGCAGTGTCGTGTCTCTGCGCGAGTAAAGAAGCGCGTGAACGACCTATAAAAATGATCCCGAAGATGTGTTTGTGAGAGATGGGTAGTTCACTTAGTCAAGAATCTCCAGACGCAGGTTGATGGTCAGAACAAAATTAGGTCTAGCGTAATCCGATAGGCCGACCCTGGTCGCGCTTGCCAGTAGCCTTCGTTATCGGATAATTGAAAGGGCCGGCTTAGGGGTCTCTGTAGGGCCTAAGATGCAGGTCTCGGGATGGATCACTCTTCGGTTTATCGTACATATGTGAGGTGTACATCTAGCATGCCCGACGTCATCTTTGCCCTAAAATCTCTGTAAACATAGAAGAACACTACGAAGATTAGATTTCGCATGCCCAGATTCATGGCAGATAGGAGCAGTCTCCATTTTCAGTTGAAGATTCGCGATTCCAGTCATTCGGGCGAGGTACAAGGATACCTGCACCACATACCGCATCAGAGTTCTCCCTTACATGTACCCTGTTTGGGTGGGACGCATGGGCCACCTGACATTAATCTGCTCCCCCACCATCAGCTGTCTAGGTTTGATTTCTAACGATTGACTCTACCACTGCGTCACTTGCAGGCAATCACATAGACCTCCCAACGCCTCGAGATCGATCCCGGGGTTGTTCTAGTTGGAATACAGTGTCGACTCAAGAACTGTAAGCTCTTTGTACACTGCCTTCGGTGCACTGTCAGCTCCCTATTGAGGTGAGTCATCACAACAAAGCTGTCGGCAATCGTCGACGGTCCGGCATTTCTAATCAGTCGATCAGGTTACTCAACCGCAAAGTCTTTCCCAGAATACCATGGACGCTCAGTCTGCGCGAACCGACAACCCGGAGCAGCTGATCGAGGTGTTCAAAGCAGCCGCCCTCTCCGTGACAAAACTATACAAAAGCTCGGTCGCAGCGGAGACAAGGGCCAGGTCAGAAGGGTATCAGGAGTGTCTCGATGATCTTCTTGGATTTCTGGACCGAGACGGACATCAGTTAGCCGGCGGGCTACCAAAACTGAGAAGATGGATAGCAGAGAGGAGAGAGGGGGGCGATGTGACTTTGCCAACTTCTGAGAGCGAGGACGAGGTCGAAAAGGCAGAAACAACTCCTTCAAACAACAGCACCAGTGCCAGCGCCAATAGCACTACTCACACTGGAATTGCCTCGAACCAGGCGCCAACACGAGCGGCCAGCATCGACCCCGCTCCTGTCGAAGTTGTCCCCATTCCCAACGAATCTCATCGCTTCATCGTCCCCTCACAAGAAAGCTTCACCTTTACATCAGACCATCAATATCCCAACATAGCGACTCTTGATTTATCGGACGGGCGATCACGAACTGCCATGTCACATCATTCCTCAAGGCAGTCAAGGAACCGCAGTGCTACGAGAAATGCCTTGAGAGTGTCAAACCAACTGGGCCGAGGTGCCGGTACTAAGCGACGGATGGACTTTGACGACTTCTTTGGCGGTTGCTTTGGCGGGAAAGATACCTTCGGAAATGGGCCAAAGAGACGGCACATGTAGGGCAACAGTTTCTGGGAAGGCGTTGTCTGATACAGACAGGGCGAGGCATCATCTCACATTTAGACGGAACGGATTCACGCATTACGGACGAGCGCGGGATATCATAGAAGCATCGGCGGCGTTTGGAGGATGTAACGACATACAATTGATGGCGTGATTATTTCATTATTGACGGGAACGCAGGAGATCATTCGTAACGAATGAGCCCACGAATGAGAAATTATTCATAACTAGCTAGCATTCGCAATATGTTGGAGTTTTTATTTGGCTGTCTCAACATTAGTATAAGGCAATATAAAACCAATTCAGCGGCCAGATGGGCACCTCTCGACATGTGGCATCTAATGATGGAGCGACAGAATTGTAAAGATGCGAGCACATACCATTCTTTGACTAAGCACCCTGCTCCCCAATGCACTGTCCATCCAAAAACAGAAACCCATGAACACGGTAGCTTTGAATAGAAAGGAGGGGAGGGGAGGGCTGTTTCGTAGACTTTCACAGGTGCAGTTTCGTAGGTAGACTTTGAGACCTCTGAAGTTAGTACCTGGTAGGGTCAGTTTCCTCCAGCATTTACGGCAATGTACGGCAATGAAACCCGCTTAGAAGAAACCCAAACTTCTGGGAACAAAATAGGATTTGCAAACATCGCTCAGACAAAGATTTAAAACGAAGGTCGCATACAATAATAGGTAGGCGATGCATTGGCCTGTAAAAAAGCCCCTGCTGGGCGCCTGAGATAGTAGCTTGGATCTTTCACTACGCCAGTAGGTACCTAAACACAAATAAATAAACAAAACAACGAATACCGCTTCTTCAAGGATCAGGCACAAGGAGCGAGCTCCCTGATAATCTCTGGGGGAAAATTATTAATCTTTTTATGAAAGCATGTTTGAACACCACAGCCAGAGGTACAGTATACCACGAAGACCGCTCTAGCTTGTAGTCCAATGAGCCAACCTAGAACATCCTTTGAGATGCAAGATGAGATAGCCGCTACCCGCTGAATAATAGCGAGCAGCAGGCTTCGGCCTACCCCACACTCCCCTGCCGTGGCCTTGGTACCCAGCAGCCGGGCCATCTGGGCTGCGCGTGCAGGGACTACGCCCCTTGCGCGGGAAGTACCTGCCTGTAGGTACACGGTACAACCTTGCAGTAGCCTTTCTTCCTGGCGTGAGCCTCAATTTACTTGACTGCCCAGAGTTTTCGAGCGCCGTTGTAGGCCAGGGGATTAAGAGCAAAAAAAAAAAAAAAAAGGGCCTCAAGGCTTTTTGGCCTTCGTTGCCTCACGCGGACCTATCTTTCACCTTCATTCCTTTCACAGCCATTGGCGCGACTTGGCAATTTATTGTTAGTAGCTCTTTGCTTTGTTCCCAGGTGCCGAGGTGCCCTTTGCCTTTTCCAAACATCGTCTCTTGAATCATTCCCTCCATCGCCCTTAAACGTGCGCTTACCTTCCTACATGGCTTCTTAGCAAAGCTAACCCAACACACGACGAGCAGATATCTACACTGTCCAGCCCTTTTTATCCTTACGTGATTCAAGAAATAGACCGCGATCACGATGTCGCACGCGGAGCAGCCCGAGGACAAGCCCCCAGTGGCTACCGAGCAGGAGGACCAGGAGGACAATGAGGCAGTTCCCAACGATGAGGTTCGTCAGAAATGCGCGCAAGAGGCGGTTCTGGATGGTTTTCAATGGGTAGACAACTGACTGAATGCTTCGATTAGGAAGAGATCTCGGCGATGAAGCGCCGCGTGGCAGAAATGGAAGAGGAGGCAAACAAGCTACGCGAAATGCAGGCCACTCTCGAGCAACAGACGGCCGACCTTACCGACGACAAAGAGACGGTAGATGCGCGCAGCATATTCGTTGGCAACGTCGACTACTCAGCATCTCCCGAAGAGATCCAGGCGCATTTCCAGACCTGCGGCTCCATCAACCGAGTCACGATCCTCCTCGACAAATTCACGGGTCAACCGAAAGGGTGAGATCTCCGAAAGAAGGTCATGTCCTCCTCGAGGACCAGTTGCTAACAACGCGATCCTAGGTATGCATATGTCGAATTCACAGAACCAAGCCTCGTGGCCCAGGCCCTCGTGTTGAACGAAAGCGTCTTCAAAGGTCGTAACATCAAGGTCACCCCCAAGCGCACCAACGTCCCTGGTATCAACCGTGGCCGCGGCCGTGGCGGTTTCCGTGGAGGCCGAGGATTCGGTGGTCGTGGAGGGCCCAGGGGCGGTGGCTATCGTGGCGGATATCGTGGGCGTGGACGAGGCTACACCCCTTATTAGGAGCAAGGAAGTGAAATCTCCTAGCGTACGGCCTCCCAACTTTGGCCGACTCTTTGGCAGTAGCCATGGGAACTCCGGAGCTTCACCCGCTGCATGAGCGCTCAGCCTTTCTGATTGTGTCGCAAATCGAGCTCACTACTTGGAGATGAGATGCAGGCCGTTGTAGGCGCAATGCAGGTAGACTGGTCAGGAGAGCATTGTTTCTTGGTAGGGATGGAGGTGTATCAAACGCTGATATTAGTATCAGCGCCTACACGGTCAGCATTGCGAGCAACAAACTGAGTTATGGTTTATAGGAGTTCAGGGTGATAATATGGGTTGGTTTTGTATTTCGTTCTTTCATCTAGCAATATACATCCAAAGCCTGCCTGTCCAGGCTACAAAAAGCAAGGATATATCTTCTCGCCTACATATCAAGGGAAAGATCAGAGAGACTGGGGTAAAATATGATTAGTAATTGAATATAATGGACTCCTTAGCAAGAGAAAGGTGCACTTTATCAGATCTTTTGCCGCCTGCTTCCATGTATTTGTCAGTATGTCTCAACGAAGTGGCGAAGCTCACCAAGAGCGGCTCTAGCGCCTCTCGTCCTGTGCCGTGTCACCTCACGTATTAGTGAGCCTCCAAATACGTAGGTAGATGGGCGATTCCAGAGTGCAGGGTTGATTGGGTTTTAATTCTTGAGGATTTGAAACTCGTCCTAGATTCATCTTCAGCTCACCAATGCCAGGGATGCTTAGCCGATCATTGATGCATGGATACGGGATGCTACAGGTAGCGATCATATGTTGCATCCTTCATCATTAATCCCAGCACTTGGGAAAAAAAGAAGTACAACTATACTCGTGGCCCTGTCAGTCTACCCATGGACCTAGAGCTAAAGAGGGCCATAAGCTAATCATAAAGGGCATGTGAGATTGCTAAATCTAGCGATGCGAAGGAACACATGCGAACATGACAAAACAGGAGGTGTTTTGTTTTAGGGTGTTGGTCATCTTTGCGCTTGACTAATCCACAAGTCCAGAACGTACAGCAACGTACATGTAGAGGTAAGGCACTTGCCCGGCAGCTTGGCCGAGCCTTGGTTGATGTTTTATTAGGTAAGGTACCTCTAAATAGCTTAAGTTATTGCCATCCACCTATTGGAATTCAGGATAGGAACAATAGACCCAAGTTGGCCTGGGTAGAGACATCATCAAGGCGTGTTGACAAGAGGCCCTTCTCGCCCATCGATAGGCAGGACAAAAATAGTAGTGCTCCCGGCTACCGCAGCCGCTGGGGGCACCTATGTCGCTCAGGACCCAAGAGCAATAGTACCTGATAGGCGTACTGGCTCTGGGGACTGACCCCTCCACTGGGCGACACAGTGGGTGTTGGTGCTGGACCAGGCTGAAAGCGGCCACTTCTCCCACAACGCTTGATCCATCCTGGACCCCACCCCACCTTGCTGTTGGCTTACCTACAGCCGTCTCCATCCCCCTACGATCACGCCCAAGAACGAAACTGAACAGCCCCTCCCACTGATGCATACATTACCTTCATTCAATAACGTAAGGTACTGACTGCTTGCTTCTAGTCTGCCTCAGCCAACACCAAAGACAAGGCCTTAGCGGTACCGACCTGAACTGCCCACCGACGAGGCGATCCAAACGTACGTACCAATCGGGGACCCCAAGCAAAAGGCGGCAAACCCCCTCAATCCCCCTTCCATTGTTCACATACTCCGCCATCTTCCTCACAATAGCACGTACGCAAGCCCCTAAGCCCACCTACCTAAGTACCTACCTGGGCTGTTACCGCGCGACTCTACCTCATTCCACGCTGAACTCTCCCCACTCGATCTACTGTGTGCGGCGGCCTCTGTTCATCTATCCAACGCTGCGTTTTCCTTTCATCTTCCACCACCCGATGCCTTTTGGTTGTCCTTCTTCTTAGCCTTCTAGAAGCTTTCCAGCCCCTCTCACCTCCACTCGCCTCGCGTGCTCCGAGAACGAGGTGTTTGCCCAGCCCGCGTGTGCGTATGAATAGCGTGCACAGCCCCATCATCCACCGCGCCCTGGTCCAGTCATCGTCATTTCCCGATCATTCTATAAAACCGATTTATCCCTATTCACCTTCCCCTACCCCAACCATCGTGGCCAGTTGTTAAATTGAAGCGTGTACAGGGCCTTGGTGCGCTGATAGCTGAGGAGGCCACAAGATGAGTCGAACCGACCCTGGGTCGTCAAGGTGAGTTCTCGCAAAAATGCGCTTCTTCACGCCGTCCATGTATGACGGGGATTGAGTTCGAGACACTAACCATCTTCCTGAGCAGACCCAACCTACGAGTTACCAGTTCGTATCCAACACGTTTCCCCTCTCGCCAAGGTTCAGACTATTGACAAACGAAACAGTCATCGCAGCCGATGGGCTCTACAAGCGAGATGTCTTCCGTACGTTCCCCCCGTCTTCCGCAAAGACAGCAGCCGATTGACAAGAGCAGGCTTTCCCGACCCGTTCGCGGTTGCTACGATTAATGGCGAGCAAACCAAGACGACAAGCGTGAGCAAGCGGACTTTGAACCCGTATTGGAACGAGAGTTTTGACTTGTGAGCCACCCGACATGCCTCCCGGCGAGGACACTGTTTAACATGCTAACATCATCACTCAGCACCGCAAACGAAGCCAGTATTCTAGCCGTCCAGGTCTTTGATCAGAAAAAGTTCAAGAAGAAGGACCAGGGTTTCCTGGGTGTGATCAACATTCGAGTGGGAGATGTGATTCCAGAGCTTGGTGCTGATGCTGATGGTATGCCAACCCGCTTGCCCTACCTAATTGTAGGCGCCGAGGCGACAATATTTGCTAATATGTCTTCCAGACCAAATGCTCACCCGAGATCTGAAGAAGTCGACTGATAACCTCGTTGTTCACGGAAAACTCATCATCAACCTATCGTGCGATCTCTCAGCACCCCTCCGAGGTGCTCAGGCTTCCTCCTCCCGTCCTGGTATGCCATCGGGGACGAACGGATCCTCTCTCTCCACTCCCTCACTCGACAATCGCCCCGGCTCCGCCATGTCTGGCCATAACAGCAATGGTTTGTCGGCTTCGACATCTCTAGCCCATCGCCCAGCAAGTATCTCGAACGGCAGTCAACCCCCTCCAGCAAGCCAGGCTGGAGCATCTCGGCAGAGCAGTCAGCTCAGTCCCTTTGAGGATGCGCAGGGCCGTCTCCCGGCTGGCTGGGAAAGGCGAGAGGACCATCTCGGCCGTACATATTATGTCGACCACAATACTAGGACTACGAGCTGGAATCGTCCGACTGCCAGTGGCGCTGCTGAGAACCAAAGAAACGCAGACGCAGTCACCCAGGTAGAGCGCCAGAGGCATCAGAACCGAACTCTTCCCGAGGACAGGACCGGAGCCAACTCGCCGACTCCCGCAGGTCAGCATTCACCACCCCAGAACACAGGCAGCCCGAATGCCAACAGTGCTGGAGCAAGTGGCGGGCCAAACACAGCCATTCACACTGGCGCTACAAGTCCAGGCAGTGGCGAACTCCCACCTGGGTGGGAACAGAGATGGACCCCCGAAGGACGGCCATACTTTGTTGACCACAACACCCGCACAACAACATGGGTGGACCCTCGACGCCAACAGTATATTCGCATGTATGGCGGTCAAAACAATACAAATGGCCAAATCCAACAACAACCCGTTTCACAACTGGGACCCCTTCCCAGCGGGTGGGAGATGCGCCTTACCAACACAGCCCGAGTATATTTCGTCGACCATAACACAAAGACGACAACTTGGGATGACCCTCGACTGCCTTCTTCGCTGGATCAAAACGTGCCTCAGTACAAGCGAGACTTTAGACGAAAACTCATTTACTTCCGTTCTCAACCTGCGATGCGAATTCTGAGCGGTCAGTGCCATATCAAAGTTAGGAGATCCCATATTTTCGAAGATTCTTTCGCAGAGATTACCCGGCAGTCGGCCATGGATCTGAAGAAGCGTCTAATGATCAAATTCGACGGCGAGGATGGTCTCGATTACGGTGGTTTGTCTCGAGAATTCTTCTTCCTGCTCTCTCACGAGATGTTCAATCCCTTCTATTGCTTATTTGAATACTCTGCTCACGACAATTACACCCTTCAAATCAACCCTCACTCAGGAATCAATCCCGAGCATCTCAATTACTTCAAATTTATCGGCCGTGTCGTTGGCCTCGCCATCTTCCACCGCAGATTCTTGGACGCCTTCTTCATTGGCGCATTATACAAGATGATTTTGGGCAAGGCTGTGGCTTTGCCTGATATGGAGGGTGTCGACGCTGACTTCCACCGTTCCCTTCAGTGGATGTTGGATAACGATATTTCGGGTGGTATTTTGGAACAGACCTTTTCTACCGAAGATGAGAGGTTCGGCGTTATGACAGTAGAAGACCTGATTCCTAATGGCAGAAACATTGAGGTCACAAACGAGAACAAGAAGGAGTACGTGGATCTCATGGTCAAGTGGCGCATTGAGAAGCGTATAGCAGAGCAATTCCAAGCCTTTAAGGAAGGTTTTCATGAGCTCATTCCTCAAGATCTCATTAACGTTTTTGATGAGCGTGAGCTGGAGCTTCTCATCGGCGGTATTGCAGAAATTGACGTCGACGACTGGAAGAAGCACACTGACTACCGTGGCTACACGGAGTCGGATGAAGTTGTCCAGAACTTCTGGCAGACCGTCCGCTCATGGGATGGAGAGCAGAAGTCCCGTCTCCTGCAGTTTACCACGGGAACATCACGTATTCCTGTGAACGGTTTCAAGGATCTCCAGGGTAGTGACGGCCCAAGAAGGTTCACGATTGAAAAGGCGGGAGAAATTGGCAACTTGCCCAAGGCACATACTTGGTAAGTTCTTTATCTGGTTTCAAGCAGGCATACTCTGAATGGTCTAGCTAACAAATATCCTTCACAGCTTCAACCGGCTTGACTTGCCTCCATACAAGACTCTCGACGCACTGCAGCAAAAGCTGACTATTGCCGTCGAGGAGACTATGGGCTTTGGGCAGGAATAGACAAACTTTTTTTTCACATGGACAGATCAATATATCCCAACCTCTACGGGTGTGTTCCATGTTCATTTTTTTTCTTACTCTTCAGTACGGCGGAACCGCACTAAAACCGCATTACGTACCCTTATACGCCCATAAAATGGTCCAGTTAGATCTGAATTTTGGGTATTGTAAGCTCTCTACTCAAGTAGTCCGGGTTGTGGGGCGGCGGTCATTCTTTCGTTTGCATTGTTACGCAGCAGGTATCTTTGGTTTGGCAAGCGATATGCTTATGAGTTGTGACAGAGGGCTGGGCTTGGGGCTGGCATGTGAAGTCTTCTGAGGCCATGTTTTGATGCATGGCGAAGGTGGCGGAGCTCAGATTGTTTGAGACGAAGACGAATGACGGGAGGTTGAGGTAGTATCCAGGCCAACATTGGGACAAGGCTTATATCATGGTTGTGGGACTCTCAAGATGGAAGGCCCCAGCTTGCTAATACATGGTAAACCACCTCAGTATCCCCCAACACAAGACGTATATAAATACACTCGATAGTTTGCTTTTCTTGTTATTATCTTGTTATTTCTCTCACGAAATATAAGTGGAAAATCATTACCATGGTGTGTGCATTTTACAGTTTCTTCCTCATTTTGACCAGTTGAACGATGAATAAAAAGACACAGGATATGTACATATTTCATGGACAAAGGAAAGATAGTTCTGCCTCCAACCCAAAAACAGTGGCCAAGTATTTCCGTCCAGCCCACCAATCTAAAAGGTTCTGCCCGAAAGGGCCCATTTTGTTCCGCCGTTTCCCTTTTTCCCCACGCAACCAGCGTAACAACCCCCTCCCCACGTCTATCGCCTGTACCAGAGCCTCGAGATCTTGGTGTTACGCATCTTGCGCTGGAGCTGGAAGATGCCGTACATGAGGGCCTCGCTGGTGGGCGGGCAGCCGGGGACGTAGATGTCGACGGGGACGACGCGGTCGCACCCGCGGACGACGGCGTACGAGTAGTGGTAGTAGCCGCCGCCGTTTGCGCAGGAGCCCATGGAGACGACCCAGCGGGGGTCGGGCATCTGGTCGTAGACCTGGCGCAGGGCGGGGGCCATCTTGTTGGTGAGGGTGCCGGCGACGATCATGACATCGGACTGGCGGGGGGAGGCGCGGAAGATGATGCCCAGGCGGTCCTGGTCGTAGCGCGGGGTGGAGAGGTGCATCATTTCGACGGCGCAGCAGGCGAGGCCGAAGGTCATGGGCCAGAGGGAGGATTGGCGGGCCCAGTTGGTGATGACGTCCAGAGAGGTGCTGTTGGAGATTCGGTGGTTAGCATTCGGGATTTATTGCGAATGGGCAGGAGGGCGATAGAGCCCGGAAATGCCTCGTGGGGAGTGCGGCTTCGAGAGATTGGTGACATACAGAGCATATTGGATGACGCTCTTGGTCTTCTCCTCGCTGGGGAGAGGCACCTCCCTGCGGACCTTGGCGAAGCTGGTGCCGGCGGTATGGGGTGTGACGGAGCTGGCATGTCGGCGGGAGCTGGCGTTAATGGCGGCGGCAGCTCGGAAGGGAACCATTGCGGTGGTTGGCTTGGCTGTGAAATTGGAAGAAGGTGAAGCGTCAGTACGAATTGCGTTGAGAGTATCCGAGGTTGGTGAACGTTGGGGGATTTCGCGCACCTCGCAGGGCCATTGAGACCGCTGACCGTGATGACTGGAGCATCTTGGGGGAGTTTCGGTCGTATTTCCACCCAGATCGAAGGGGTATAATGGAGTGGAGAGGGGTGAGAGTGGTGAACGGGCTCTACAAGGGCGGAGGGGTCGAATTGGGAGGTTGTCAAGAAGCTCGTTGACGTTTTCGAGGGCTCATTCGCCTCCTTCGGGAAGAGCACAAATGGAGGGATGGTGATTGGTCGACGGGGTATGGGGCGAGGTTTAGCCGATCGGAGCCAGAAGCCAACGGCAGCAACTGATGACTAAGAAGCGTTTACAGCGACATCTTGGTAATAGAGAGGCAGAGGGCCTGGGCCAGGAGCCCAGAACCAAGATAGTTTCGAGGTATAAGGAATTTCTCTTTTTAGCTGTGCAGGAATCAATGGAGAGTTCCTGGCACTCAAGTTCCAGGAAGACCAGATCATCCGCTCTTGGCCCTGACTTCGCACTTATATAGCCGTCTACCCTAGAGTGCGTGTGTGAAGACGATGACACTTTGATTATGGTACAGGTATCCTGATGCTAAGGTTGGCTTTTAGTTGTAATTGTCATTAGTGACTTGTGTAGTATTCTTCGAAGGGGAATATATTTCGTATGTCTGGAGGTAGCGCTAGCTCATCGGCTCTTTAATTGGTATTTTGCATCATCTTCATTGTTACTATAATGAGGGGTTGCACATTAAACACCACCCGTTACGGCGCGTGCTCTTAAAATATCTAGACAGACCCCAAGGTTAAAAAATTTAGTTTATTATTTTATTTTTTAAAAAATATCAAAATGTCATCTATCCAAAAGGACCTTCCTGGCGGAATTGAGTGCGACACTGGGTCACGGTATGTGCAATCGAAATATAGCCAGAGTTCAACGAGTTCGATGCTCCCATGCAAAGTCTTCAAGACGAATTGATCATGCCATGGCTTAGCCAAAAAGTACGTAGAATTGATGTCTTTTTTATCATATCGTGGCATGATGTATATAAATATTAGGCGGCATTAGCTCTCTAAGTCGAGCCACGCAAGAAATATATGCTGTGTATATCTGGAAGGGATTCAACGCTGTTATAACTGTAGGTCCGTCGGTTGTTGGCGGCTTGGTTGGCCCTTGAGATGTGCCGAAGACCCCTTGAAGAGACTCTGCCAGATGAAGGCCTCACTGAGGAGTAGTTCAATATCTTTCTCGGTCCACTCCTTCGTTGGGAGGCTCTGTAAAAACATCATGATCTCCTGGAAGTCCATCTCGACTAGCTTGGCGGACCACTTCACCAAGAAGGCGGCACAGACATAAAGGTGAAATTCAGAAAAGCCTTGCTCTTCAGCCTACCGAACAAAAGTATTAGCGGCTCTGGATGCTAGGAATCCTACACAAGGCGCACTTACAAGATATGTGTCCCACATGCGGATTGTGTTTCGGACGCTGATTTCACGCATGAGTAAACAATTCATCCAGCGGAAACTGAACTGGATAAACTCCACACCCTCGGACTCGAGATGTTTAGAAAGCTTCTGGTCGATCCTGGCTGTCAAGTCACGGAGGGATGCAACTTGACGCTGGATACCCGGTTGTGCGACAATGTAGTGATCCTGGATGCCATCGAGTAACTTCGTCAAGCACCAGAATGAGTCTGCCTCAACCGCGTCAAGGACTGATTTCGGAAGCTGGCCTGGGTCCATTCCCGACTCGATATCGCCATCGGCTATGTAGAGACTCAAAAAAACCTGCCAAAACGGAGTGACGAGATCATTGATTCCTTGGACATATCCGCTTGCTGGGTGGCGAACTGCCCAAACGTAGAGGATCCGTTCTAGCGACCTTTGCGTAGCTTCGTAGCTGTACAACTCGATGTGGGGATTCGTTCTCGGAATATCAATACTGATCTGGTGCCATATAGCCTCATCTAGACCTCTCGTTCGAAGCCCGGGGGAAGTGACAGAGTTGGATCTTTCAAAAGCCTGGCGAACACCGTCCAGGTACTCCTTTCGTTTCCGTTCGAGTGTCGTTACTCTCCTCTCACCATTTGTGGGCAAGTAGCTCAGGAGTAGCTGCCATGTCATAGCACGGACTTCTTCAGGGACTCCCGACCAAGCCAGGGATCGAAGTTCGGGAAGCGATATGGAAGATGCTTGCAGGAGCTTTTTGAACTTATTAATTCTCGTGATTCGTGCACTGATGACGTCGGCTTCTTTAGAAGTTGCATTGTTGGAGATGGAGGGGTAGTTGATGAGATGTAAAGCGTTTGCAGGATCTGAATTGAGCGGTCAGCTAATTTGTTTGTATGAGTTATGTGACTGCCCATGTTCAGGACCAACCTCGAAGGATATCTTTATATTGGGGTCGGAGAATTTTGCCTTCGCTTTTCTTCGGCATTGGGTACGAGGGCGCCGGGCGTTCGACAGCGATATCTGCGCTACCTGAATATCGTCGTTGGCTACCCAATGACTCCCCATAGGACGGCCCCAGACTCATTGAATCTGTCTTGGCTTGTGTTGCAACCCGCCTCGTTCTTCTCTTCATGTTGGACAAGCTGGGAAGGCCAAATTCGTCTCCATCATCGTCATCATAGCCCAGCATCTCGTCTCCATCTGCCATCCAATCATCGTTCGTGTTAGACAAGAAGTTGACATATTTTTGGATGGGAGGAGAGCTAAGCCCGGTGGAAGCTCGTGGTGGGGTCTGGGTATCGTTGGCTCGGAATTTTGATGTCGAAGATGCCGAAGGAGGGGTAACTGGGCGAGAAGAGGATTTGGACAGGCTCCTGCGCGAGTGGAAAGGAACGAGGTTAGTAGTGGTCGATGTACGGCTGGGAGCACCACGGGCGAACAGCACGACCGCAACCGGAGACGTACAATGAGTCGAACTTGAGCATATCTGCGTGAGAATACGCAGCGCCGACAACAAGACCTGCATCGCGACCCGATCCCGCAGGCTGCGTTACACTCCTCTTATGAGCTGGAAGGTTGTCTCGGGAAATGGGCGGTCTCCAGAAAGGCGATGACGGGCTGGCGACTTGTTAATGGTGGGAGGCGCGGCGGTGGGTTTAGTTCACATACTCAGATCTCTCTGGACGGAACAGAAGAAAACCAGCAGTTAGCGAACGACAAAGTCCTCACAGTGCCAGGTGTTGAACGACTTGAACATACCGACTTGAACCATCTCCTGTGACAGTGGGGTAGTGAGCATTGGCAGCCATTGGCGTCGACGCAAGTGCCGAAGACGAGGGAGGGGACACTCACAGACTGAGGCGGCTTCTTGCTGCCGCTCCCCGAGGACGACCACATTGCTGGAGGGGGGAGGACTAATTAGTATATGAATGGAAGAAGGATGCAAATTCACATAGTGCCAAGGTTGGAGCTTGAGCGAGTCGAGGCTGGTGGACAAGGCCTCGGACTCGCGAAGAAGCGTCTGGAGGTTGGGTGGATTTGATGCTGGGATCGAAAGCCGGCCACGAGCCACAGCGGCCCAAGCCCACGAGCCCACTGATGAGCAGCGGTCTGCAGGGCGCTGGTTTGAGGTACAAAGCCCTGGAGGTGTTTGACCCTGCCTGTAAGTAGGGAGTGCCGCGCTGCGCTAACCCAGGCTTGGAGCTGGCGGTGGCGGCGAGAGCGGAGCACACAGACGGCAGGTGCGTAGCCGGTGATTGGGCGGCGCGGCTTAGTCATCGCGGTTCTCGCTTGCCCGCGAACAGAAGGATGAGTCTGCTCCCCTCCTGTCAAGAAGCTGGTATTACCTTTCTTCGTGTCAAAACACAAACCTTAGGCCACTCGCATCCATCTGGCTTCTTCCTGCGAGACCCATCACTTGCCATCTGATCCATATCCGTGATCTCCGTGCTTGGTGTATTTGCAATTTCCTACTAATAATCTCTTCATCGCCCGTTCAATAGACGGCACGGTCTCGGGTCGGCAGCGGAACACGACAGAGTCAGCAATCATGGCAGACGGCGAGAACTTCGAGGAGGATCTTTTCGCCGACCTGTATGTCAATTCATCGCCACGTCCTCGCTTGCGCGCGACGCAAACCCATTGACCTACAACTAATCATTTTCCCATCCAGTTACGACGATAACGATGCCGCTAAGGCCCCGGCACCTGCAGCACCTGCAGCAGCGCCTGCTCCTCCTCCACAACCTGCCGCGCCCGTCGAGGAGGCTCCCCAGCCCGAATTCCAAGATCAAACGAACTCGACCAGTGTTCAGCCCGTAGCTGTAGCGCCCACAACTAACTATGACCAAGATGATGACGACGACGATGATGTTGACTTTAATCTGGGCGGTGGTGGTGCCGTGGCACCCCAAAATGCAGCTCCTCATCAGGAGGATGCGCATTCTCCCCCTTATGGGGCTGTGCACAAGGCCAGCGCGAAAGAAGACGGGTAAGTGGGGTTTTCCATATGTTGATCTCGTGATTTCACATGTTCGCTGCTATATTCATTTACCTCCGTTGGCTGGTGGCATCTACCTGGCTTTCGGCGCAAATGGTTGCTTGTAACTGAAGGTAACAGCTGGTTGGGACGATGAAATCTCACATGGCTGGGCGATCAAAGCCACACGTTGGGCTTACTCAAAGTGGCACGGCAAATTCAGGCCTGAGACTGATATCGAGGTTTATCATTTGATGGTTATGGAGTCCAAGATCAGTCATGTCAGGACTCGGAAGCCAAAACGGCTTCGTCGTTGGAAGCAGTCCACCAACGCCCAGGGTGCATGAGGCAGAGGCTTTTCTTACCTGTGAGGGAAACGAATCAGCTTGTGGATGTGCCGAGTCAAGTAACATCCGACTCAGAGCCGACGGGAGGACACCTGTCTTCTATAGCCCTGGGATATCGGTCAGAAGAATTCTTGAGGAATGCCTGCAAGGATAGTAGCTCCTCGGGCGCATCGATAGCAAGACTACAGCGTATAGCACACGAAGCTAGTACCTAGCAAGAACCAGAGATACAGACAGAGTCAAAGAGAACCAAGAGTATCAAGAGGACAGAAAAATATCAAGGAAAGGCGATAGCAACAGACGAAAAAGACAGAATATTTCGATCGCTGATAGGGTGTCTCACGCTCCGCCTTGACTTGATGCGCCTGTTCGGTCTGTGCATCTCAAATCCAGAGTCATCGTGGCCTAGACTGTCTGTTGCGACCATTCAACCATGAAAGACAGAAGGAAAGCCCGGCAATATCTGAAGTCATGAAGAACCAATATCCCGACAAACGGCCCAATCCAATTCTCTCAGCCAACTGCTATAGCACTTCCAGATACAAACCAGATGGGGGTCGACCTCACCAGGTCTTCAGTATGTTGGTTAGGAGTAGACACGCCAAATTTGCGGCTGTACTTGACTCGCCCGAACAACTTGCACCAACATATCGATTCGATTCGGATCGAGATCTGATGAGATATCAAACCAACAACATTGATGATCAGCCAACCAGCCAGCCACCATCAAGCCAACTCGATCAAACCAAACCGACCCAGCTGTTACATTGGAACCAACCAGCCATGCCCATGAATTTCACCCCCCCTCAATTCTTTTTTTGAACCTAGGCCCTGTTCCCTTGACTCCATACCCAACTTGACTGTTAAGGCTGCCTTCATATTTGGCACTTCCATTAACTTTGGCGCATGTATACTGATCTTTGGGCGTAGGAAAATGTTTATTGGTGGATTGAACTGGGAGACAACAGACCGTAAGTCTCATGGATTGATTGCACTGCAGGATGCGGAATTAATAATGGCTATAGAATCTCTAAGGGACTATTTTTCACAATTTGGAGAGGTAGTGGAGTGTACAGTGATGCGGGATAGCAGCACTGGGCGTTCGCGAGGTTTCGGTTTCCTTACTTTCAAGGACCCCAAGACAGTCAATATTGTCATGGTCAAGGAGCATTTCTTGGACAACAAGATCGTATGTATACCTGTATCCCGGCTCGTCGATTGCTTAATATATGGGAGGGTTATTTCTAACATCTTATCCACCTCGCTGTAGATTGATCCAAAGCGGGCCATTCCTCGGGATGAACAAGAAAAGACTAGCAAGATCTTTGTCGGAGGCGTGAGCCAGGAAACTACGGATCAAGAGTTCAGAGACTACTTCGCTCAGTTTGGACGGGTCGTGGACGCCACCCTGATGATGGATAAGGATACCGGACGACCTAGGGGCTTTGGCTTCGTTACCTTTGAGAGCGAGGCTGGCGTGGATGCCTGCATCAACGTGCCTCTCGAGATCCATGGCAAGCCAATCGAAGTCAAGAAGGCACAGCCTCGTGGCAACATGAGGGAAGAAGAGGAGGCATCCAAGCGGATGAAGTTCCAGAGAGGCAATGAGCAGCAGGGCCAGGGCGGCGGCATGGGCCAGGCCATGGGTGGCGCCAACAACGGAATGACTCCTCAGGTCATGGCACAGTATTTCCAGCGCATGCAGCAGTACTTCGCCATGATGCAGTCACAAATGGCCATGAGGGGGATGCCGATGAACCCGGCCATGATGCAGAACATGATGCAGATGCAACAGATGCAGCAGATGATGGGCCGCGGCGGGGGCCAGAACATGATGAACAACATGACTCCCCAGATGATGCAGCAGATGCAGGCAATGCAACAACAGATGATGCAGCAGCAAGCCGGTGGCCAAGTGGACGGTAGCCAGGGCGGCGGCTACGGCGGACAGAACAACCAGCAGCAGCAGCAGCAGCACTTTGGAGGCGGCGGCGGCGGCGGCAGACGTGGTGGCCGCGGAGGAGGTTACGGAGGAGGCTACGGCGGCCACGGAGGAGGAGGAGGGGGATACGGAGGAGCAGCAGGCGGCGGCGGCGGAGCGCAGCAGTCATGGGAAGGCATGTACGACGACGTTCCTCAACGAGCGGACGGCCAGAACGCGCCCCCGGCCAACGCACCAACTGGACCCAAGAACGCGGGCAAGCCTGGCGCCAACTATCGGGGCGGCGGCCGTGGCGGAAACCGAGGCTTCCACCCATACTCGCGATAGTAGAGAGGGGATCAACAACAGGGCCGAAGACTGGGTTTTCACGGATTTTAATGGGCTGCAGAGCGGGTTATCTCGTGTTGAGATGGAGGCGGGTAGTGGTATACGACTACTCTTTTGCTATTTTTCGCTTTTTTTTTTTCTTTTCGTCGCCTTTTTTTTTTCTCTTCAAAACACACGGAGCAATGTACTATACTATATATGCAACGAGGAGGCAGCTCTTCCAATGTTGATTTCTCAGGTCGAGAGACAACGGGGGGTGTTACTGGGTTTCCGAGGCAAATCTGGGGTGGGCAGAGGCAAACAGACTGGCAGGACTCGCCAAAAGTTAAGGTTACAAATGCGCGCATCTAGCTCGATAGATAGATGTGAATACGCATCTCGGGAAGTTTTGACTGATCTGGCTAAATTTGGCCCCGTTCTATACTTAGATGGCAGACGCATAGATATACGCTTGTCGCGTCAAAGTGTCTGTCTGCTCTGGCTTTAAACGTCCCCGGCCTGGTCGGGTGGGCCGGGTTGAATAATACTTCTGCTTTTGAGAATAATCAGAAACCTCTCTGGTGCTGCAGGTTTGCCTTAAGTGATGACGATATTACATTATATAGCGCACATGGGCTTTGATTGCGATGCTGGTAATTAAAAATACACCAAATGCGAAACTCGAGGGATCGTCCCACAGGATCCCGTCACATCCTATACCGCGCAGCTTCGGGAGAAGCAGATGCGGGCATGCGCCTGATCTCTGGAGCTACGTTCTTCCGGCGTACGAGGTAGCTGTGCCGTGTAATGCTAATTAATCTCTTCGACGAGGGCCGGGCTAGGCTTTCTCGCGAGTGGGTTTCGGGCATCCTTCTCGTGGTGTAATTCATGCGCGCGGGCTCGTTCGTCTCGTCCGACGTCAGGCGCCTGATGGTGGCCAGAGCTGAGTAGAGGCTGTCTTTCTTGTCTGTTTCGTTTTCTTCCTTTTGGCTTCTAGCGACCGGACCCCCTTCTCTGTCTTGATGTCATTTCGTCCCACGTCGCCGCGTTTTGAGGTCGCGGACGGCCGAGCCAGGGAGAGCTCTCTATGAGGAGCAACTATGTAATACTGGCTGCAGGCCCGCGGCTGTGCATCGTGAAACGCGAGTGGGCCGCCGATGAGGGCCAGCCTACCAGCGCCGTTGGGCTCGTTCTTGGCGGCTCCAGAGGGTCCAAGGTGTCATTGCTGCAGGGAGGTGGGTGCTTTTTTCGCTGGCTTGCATGAAGATGAGCCCCAGGGCCCTCGTATCTGGTTGTCAGTTGAGTTGGCAGCCCAGTCTCGGTGTGCCGCGATGCCAGGTGGACATATGGCGAACGGGAGCTGATCACCGCGACGGGCCTCGTTCTCCTCGCATGCTTTCCTGGCTCTTGAGGCTCTTGGAGCTCGTCGGCCTGCATTCGTTGTGATTTGCAAATCAGTGGGCTTCTCCCCTCCCTCCACTCTCTCATCCTTGCTTGGATCCTCGTAGGGTGCTACAGTAAGTGCGTAATTCAGCACTCACCCGCGATCTGAAACGTGTAACCCCTGTCCTGCAACTCAATGGTGTTACCAGCAGGCCCAGCCCTGCAACCTCTATATCTGCTGTCTGACTGTGTGTTAACCAGTCCCACCACCCTTCCAATTTGCCTATGTCGCTGTCCGATCATTATTTCATGCCATCCCCCCTGTCGTGAGTTGCGCGCCTCGCAGCGTTGCGGTCAGGGCTACCTTGGCACCGGTCCAAGTTTGGAAACTGGCGGTCCTATGCCAATCTCTCGTACCCGGCGGATGGGCTCTCGTGCCCAAGAAGCTGGTCTGTGACGGATGCTTCTGCTGGAATATAGGCCAGCCCCCCCTGCGTTGCCTGCCCAGACGATGCTATGTATGTCAAGGTCAGTGACCGAAGGCAGAGCGCACCCTGCCTCGTGAATGGCCACAACTCTGCAGATATTAGCCTCCCTCCCCCCTTCACCCCCGCGGGCCGTCGTCTCTTTTGCTTGGTTGACCTGCTTTTTGGCCCGCGTTTGCTTTTCTCGTCACTCACTTACCTAGTTCATTTCGTGTTGTTGAGCTGGCAGCTCCTCACTGGCTTGGCTGTCCAAGCCCGCTCTCTTTTTGCAAAATTTCTCACATTATTTTTTCTGATACCTTCATTTCGTACATGACGCTCTTTTGCCGCTTCGACAGCCAATAACCCGAAAGAACAATTTTTAAAATTCCACCCAAGTAATATTTCCGAGAATGGGGACGTTCAGCGCCGGGACGGCAGGACGCCGGCCTTCCGCATCTACTACTCATTCCTCTTCGACTCATCGCCACGCGGGGCAGAACTCAATGGCGATCGAAAGGTATGTTTCGGACGGATGTTTGATTGGGAGTCTTTCATTTGCGATGATGGGGGGATCGCTGATGTGTTGTGGTGTAGTATCCCTGAAATCCCTGGAATCGACAGCTCAAACGGTTCAAGAAATGTAACGACGTCGTCGTCCAACAACCGTTCGGCCTTGAACTGGCCGTTCCGTGGCCACTCACTATCATCTGGGCAGCATTCCGCCCAGCACTCTGCTAAGCACTCAGCGCAGCACTCCGCCAAACTTTCACAGAACTCTTTCGCACGCTCGCACTCCTCCTTTGGACGCCGTAACAGTGGTTGGATTAACTTGAGACCCGCCTCAAGTGTACTTGGGAGCGACATCATCCCTGACTATGTAGTCAACTTCCTCCGGGGCGAGACCCCAGAGTCTCTCGCCAAGAAGCGGGAGAAGGAGGAAGCCGGGAGAGCGGAGAACGAGGCGCATGTCCTCAGCGACCGGTTTAGTGGTTTCGATTTCTTCTCGCAGTCGAGGTCGGGTTCCCGGGCAGGAGATGTGGAAGGCATGCTGGCAGCCGGGGAGGGACAGCAAGGATTTGCAAGGAAGATGATGACAGGATGGCGAGCAGGAATTGTGCTCATCATCTTCCTTGGCCTTCTGATCCTCGTGGGCACTATCGTGTGCCTGGTGCTCGCGGTCATCAACAACTTTTTGACGGCCGAGGAAATGGCCGTAGTCACCAAAGACTGCGCTGAAATTGGGCGGATCGACCAAGGAATCCAGGCCGCCGTCAACGTCCTGTCTCTGTTCTTTATCGCAAGCGCGACATATGTGTCGCAAGTTCTCGTCAGCCCGACCCGGGAGGAGGTGGATGCCGCTCATGCCAAGTTTAGCTGGTTCGACATTGGTATTCCGACATTGAAGAACTTTGGCGGCATCTCTACTCTCCGCACGGTGCTCGCCCTCACAGCCGTCTTCCTTGCCGTCGGCTCCCAAATAATGTAAGTTGTGCCTCGAGGAACGAACGGCAACGAACCGACCTTGCGTATATCTGTGAAACTTGGTTATGCTGACTTTGAGTTTGTAGCTATAATTCTCTCATCTTCACCGATATTGGAACGTCGAAGGCTAACGATGAAACTTGCTCTCTTATTCTCAATGGCCCCATCCTTGGGGCCCTTGCTGTTCTCAATCTTCTGTTTATCTTAGTATTGGCCCTGGCCCTGGCCACAACCTCGACCCACAACCCCCTTGTAACTTTGGGCGATGCTCTTAGTTCTTTCCTCGCGGATCCCGACTCGACGACCCAGGGCGCATGCCTCCTGTCCAAAGCCGACATCAAGACAGGCTTGTGGGCGAACGGAGAGATCAAGTCTAAGTACTGGTTCAACGAGCCACACCGGTGGTATCAGACCCCCTCGCGAACGAGGTGGCTGATCTGGGCCGTCATCTGGCTGCTCTCTGCGGGTATGTCAGCGGCGATGCTCAGCGTGGTCATGGTGGACAACTCGAATGCCGCCTTCCAGGCCCTCGAGACCCCCACGAAGACGTACATCCTCTCCAAGGGGATCCCCTCAGCCGGTGTTGGGGTTCTGCTCGCCCTTCCGCACCTCATTCTCGCGGCCCTCTACTTCTCGACCAACGCCATGCTCAGCGTGCTCTACCTCTCACACGAGTTCGCCAAGTATGCCGAGGAGGCCATGGCGCTTCGGGTGTCTAGCTATCCGTTTGGTCTGCAGAGGGCCTCTCTTTACATTACCCTTCCGCGACCCATTTCGTGGATCTTATTCTTTGTATTCGCAGCCATGGGATTCATGCTGAGCCAGGCCTTCAACCTTGTCAAGGTTGATGACGGCTATGTGCTTGGAATGAACCCACTGCCCACAGTCATTCTACTCGCCCTGGTAGCCGCCACTGGTCTCCTTGTCCTGGGCATGTCCCTTCGGCGGACCGACTTCCCACCGGCAGAGGGCGAGGAAAACAGGACGGCGAACCCCCTGATCCTGCCTGGAGGTTCCTGCTCTGCCGTGTTGAGTGCTCGATGCCACCGGGGGACGCGCGAGGGTTCAGGGATGGTGGCCCAGGTATTGGGATGGGGAGTGATCCAGGAAAACTCTGATCCCAAGGTCGGACACGCAGCCCTGTCAGGCCTGCCAGTTGAGCCAATGAAGGTTGGCAAGGCATACGCCTAAATACAGATCTGGCAGCTGGCTTGCTTTTCTGTGTCTTGGGGTCAAATCTAATCTTGAAGAATAGGGGCCCTTGCAACGTATTCATTTGGGCATTTATTGGTTGCGTGACTGGGGAGTACTCGTGGAACTGGTGTTGGATAATACAATTCAAGTATTTTTGATTTCACTTGCGTTCTTTTTTTTTTTGATAATTCTGAGGCATCGTTCTCACGCGAACGTGCCACTGGCTCATGGGGAGGTAATGTTTAACATGATAAAGACTTGCTTGATTGGTATTGGAGGGCTTGAATGTGGAAATCTTTGATCCTCGAATCAGAGACGACAAGAGGAGGAGAGAAAAGTTATATATCTTGGATAACGAGACGCCCACAAAGCGTTCTCGGATATAGCAGTGCTGTCGAATTGAAAATGAGAATTGATTACCTCCAAGGAATCTGGATCAAGTCAGAAACTGTGTGCTGGAAGCTGGTTGGTGGCCTTTGTTGTCGGGATAATTCGAGGCAACTACCGGCGGCATGGCTTGCAGGAACGGCTCCGCAATCGGGCAAGAACGGCTGTCTATATTTTTAAAGCTGGATGTCATTCGGGGGAGTTGCGCCATGATCGGCGGCGTGACAGCAGACAAGGATCACAGCCACTGCACTGTGCATTCCGAAGGCGATGGAGGCAGCTAGCTTACAAGACGAGGCGAGTGAGTCAGGCAGTCAGGGTCCATTCCGAGCTCCAGTGGCAGCGGAAAGATGAAGTGAACGATGGGATGTTCCTGATGGGGGAAATCAGGCCACTTGAGAGGTCTCGGGTTCCACCGCCCGAGCCCAAGCGAGCGCCAGATGCTTACCATGGACGGGCGGTGATTGGCCGAGGGGCTGATCACGTCGTTTTGCTCCGTAGCATCGTCAGGACTTATCTGTATGTGGGCGATGGCCTCTGTGCTGGCGGGGCCGCACGAGCGGTGCTGTGAGCGAGGGAGGGTGTGTGGACGGCGAGGAAACTGAATATCAGGCCATTTTGTCCTTCTGGGCCGTTCGCAGGGCACATGATGGGCCTGGCCCTGCCTGGGATGGGGATGGGGATCTGGGAGGAGCACCGCAGCTGCTAGGCTGGTCCTGCCTTCTGGAGCAGGTGCAGCTCAGCGCGGTACGTACCAGCGACCAACGAGGAAGGGCCTACCGAGAGGAGCAGCAAGAGCAGCCAGAGCACTTGCTACAGTCTACGGCAGGAACCTACCAGCGCCTTCCCTGGGTAATGGAAGAATGAGGTCATGGGCGCACTAACACAGGTACTCAGCTACCAAGGCTGCGGAATACACTTGTCACTGGCCGCTTAATCGGTTGGTTAACGCTTCTAGGCACCACTGGCCATCTGTTGTTGTTTGGGCCGCAGGGGGTGGTTTGGGTGGTTTGGTGTTTGGGAGGGGCAGGGGGTACGGTGTGGGCTGTGGAAATCGGAAATACCCAGTCAGAAATTCTTGCACAGTCGTAATCGTACTTGATTAAGGTACCCAAGTACTAGCTAAGGTGCTCGGGAGCCAGATTGTATTAATAGCTTCGAGATCCCGCTGCCTTCTTTCTTTTTCCTTTCTTTGAACGTTCTGATTACCTACCATTGTCTCTCGATTACTTATTTGGGCTTACATACTCACCACTGCCTTATTAGCGTCTGACAAATTCACCGCGACGACTTACACACGCTAAACCCCACGCGAGCCAGAGCGATCACCTCATTCTGCATTGAAGCGCGAGGAAGGCCAGACGGAAAAAATTCTAATAAAAAGGGGACAAAGTTTTCAGGAGACTTGTATAAATACATATACGAGCGAAAGATTCAATAGACCGCACCAATAGTAGAGCCAACGAATCTGCACATTGGAGAATCGAGAACACGCACTCACTCTCACTCTCACTCTCACACCTCAATACACACACACACACACAAACACCAGCCATGGCCCCTACATACACCATGTCGGCACACCTGTGCAAGCAGATCTGCTCATCTTGGCGGCAAACCCGCCAGCCCACCGATGGCTCAGCACTGCCCTCCCACCGCTCGCTGTCCCCCGACAGCAGTATGAAGCCCCTGAGCGAACAGCGCAGGCGGAGTAGCAGCAGCAGCACCAGCGGCAGCAGCTTCCTCTCAAGTCAACTGTCCCGACTCACGTCCAACGACCGATAAGCGTGCCGACGCATAAACATGGCCACTTCCAGCTCCCCTCCTGCAGACAGCATGATCGAGGACTGCTGAATGGGCCACACGATTTTGATTTCTCTATCGCCGACATTTTATAATCCTATTTATCGCCTCGCTGTGGATACCATTTTGGTCTACATCACCAACACACACACCACTTATGAGTGTGCCAGCATCTCTCTCCCGCCTAGGAACTTTTCCGTGCGCGAATCACACTGACAGCGATTATTGCACTTTCTCATCCACGCACTCATACGCTTTACACGATCTCATTTTGTCATCTTTTTGTTTCTCGGTACAAGGAGGGACCCTGTCCCTTCTCAATGATCTCAACTCTGGGAAGACTTTCCACAGGTCTTGGGGGGGAGGCTAGGCCAGGATATTTGCCCATATGGTTTAACTAGTCACTGTTTCTTGTTTTCTTTTCCCGCACCAAATTCACTGACCGTGGATCTTCCATTTGGAGTTAGGGGAAATCTTACTTTGTTCCTGCCTTGCGCGTTTGTTTGGTATTGATACTCCCCCAATGTTGTTGGTTTTCTGCCATGAATTTCGAACGCAAGAATACTCGGAACACGCACATATATACATAGATATATATTCTGAGATTCTGCGATAAATATAATTTTGCAAGACCCATGCTCATATATCTTGACGTGATACCCAGCGCTTTAGAAATTAATGGTCCCGTGCCCGCGGATTGCACCCAGGTAGGTGTATGTCATCATGAACGCTTGGTGTGAAGAGAGTCAAGTGGATGAAGGCACTCGAGCATTAACTACTTCCCTATCTTCGAGCCTGCGATGAGTATTGCCGGATTATTGAGTGCTAATAACAAGCATATGAGAGGCAATATACCAAACATTGTCATTCTATGTCGCTTCCTACCTAGGCACTACTGAAGCATTCCAGCCATCTCAGAAAGATAGCCTCTTCGCCCGAAAGGGTCGCCCGATGGTTGGCTGTTGGCTGTGTCACTGCCGTCGCCCCTGCGGATCATTCGTTGCAGCTCGCCGATCAGCTGGTGATGCGGCCGATGGACATTACCTCCGGTCACCGGAGCCCCCGGTCGTAAACCATACCGGACTGTCCCCGCATTTCCGACCGAGATGGAGGGACATGTAAAGATGGAGTGAAAATAAAAGGCGACGGGGACTGACCGCCGGCCACACACATCTCATCTTCGTGGGCGAGCGGGACGGCGCGGGTAGGCCGCTCATCCCAACACACCATGCAGCTCTAATCAGACGAGGGCCCCGGGACCCGATGAGGGATGGATGGCTGATCAATGGCAATTCCAATCGATACGGGTGTGGTGGCCTAACGCAAAGCTATGTCACATAACCAATCTTCGAAGCATCGCTGCGACGTTTTTGAGGGAGCCGTTGGTGGCCCTATTTCTGGCCCTCTCCCCCCCCGCTACCCGCGATGCGCCTGACTCTTCTTCTTTCCATTCTTCTTTTCTTTTGTTTTACTTCATGGAGCTTCTTTTGATTTAAATTACGTCTTCTCAAACTTGTGCCTGCCGCCGTGGTCGTCGTTGCTGTAGGCATAAGGCAGGGTTTCCTCAACACCTCCATGTCCTCCCCCCCCGTCAAGAGAAGAAAAATCGGAGACGTGAGTGATCTGCTTCCCTCGATAGCTTTTTTATTTCTCTATTCTGATTCTCACTCCGATCTGGAGGACCGAGAGAAGACCACTTTTGTGAAAATCACCATTACCATACTACATCTTTGTACTTGCTTTTGCTCGCCATGCATGCCCGCCGCCAGAAGCTGACCTGTAGATTCTTTCCAGCCAGTTCGGCCTCAGCAGCCCAAGAGCAGCAGCCAGATCCAGGAGCAACCGTTCGAGAGGTCCTACCAGATCCAGCGGTTCCTCTTCAACGACCCCGACAACGACTCGACCACCTGGGCCATCATCGAGGGCCGCAGGCAGGAGCCCAAGTTCATAGACTCCCAGACCACGGCCTCGCCCCCCGGGTCCTGCGAGGACGACTCATCCGCCGCCGGGGCAGACGACAGCCTCAACACCTCCGTCTCCTTCCACAAGAATCGCTCCAAGGCGAGGCTGGCCGAGAGCCACGCCAGGCTCAGGCTCGAGGGGCCCCATGCTGAGTGAGCTCGCCATCTGAGCAATAACCACTTCACATCTGGATTTTTTTAGCCCAACCTATCTTTTCCTCCTTTCGATGGTTAATTCCCAGCCTACCCAAGGCGCATCAGCGGTGGATGGCGGAAAAAGGGCCCCGGAGAAGTTCTCCTGTCCCTTTAGGTACAGAGCCACCAAGCATAACCTGTTATACCCGGACTCCGAGCCCTGCAAGGAGGGCAAGCAGTTCCCCAACATATCGAAACTCAGGTTCGTACAAATCCCCAATCTCGAAGATCTCACCTATCTATCAGAAAGACCTTCGTCTCAAAAACCTCCTGTAACACCTCCTCTAACACCTCCACGACCAGAGAACATCTTAAGAGGGTGCACTCCCCAGAGTACCGATGCAGCGACTGCAACCACAAGTTCTCCCAGGTCTCCGTCGCGGAGCTGCAGGACCTCAGGGCGTCCCACCGGCCCAAGTGCCGCCGCACCGGCCGCACCCCGCTGCCCGGCTTCGACATGACCGCCGAGCAGTGGGACAAGTGCAAGAACTGGAGCCAGAACCAGCGCGTCGACCGCGGGTCCAGGAACGGCCTCTCGGAGCGCAAGCCCGCCTGGTCCTGGCGCCGCATCTACAACAGCCTCTTCCCCACCGACCGCATCACCGTCGGCCCGGACCCTTGCGCGTTCAAGCCGGGACCCAGGGCGGCGCACCCCCAACTGCCGAGGGTACAGCCGAGGGGGCCAACGAAGGGGGCTGGGCCCGGTGCGGATGGCAACCTGAGCGGCCCCGCGCCGACCATGACGCCGTCCGACTTCGTGTCCGTGTTCTCGCTGGACTACAGCAAGGCCTCGAACGGTAATGAAGGCACCGGGATCAGCTCATGGTCGTCGTCGAACCCGCAGGGCCCCAGCTCCATCACGCCGTCGTCGACGTCCGGGACCACGGAGACGGTGGAGTCGGCCCCGAGCCAGCCCGAGCAACCGACTCAGTCAGTGAATGAGCTGACCCGGATAATGGAGGACGTGTACATGCACAGCGGCTCGCTCGGGTGGGGAGATTATAGTGCCAACATGGATGCCAACATGGATGCCAACATGGATGCGAACATCTTCATTGGTGAATACATCCAGCCGTCATTCGGACCGGCCGACGAGCGCATGGATGGCCACGGGGCCTGATATCTGTTGACGATCAACGAATAATTTCTCTGTCCTTCTCTTTCTGGTCTCTTTTGTACTCATTGCCTTCTTCTGTATTTCATAAGCATACCTGGGTTGGGGTGAAATTGTATCCTCTCACGACGGAATGAGATATGCTGCATCTAGAGTGCTTTGACGAAGTTTATGATTACGACGGCCGGTCATGTCTTTTCGCTTCAGTTAAATGTAAAGGAGAGTTCTCAATGCTAAACAAGTTTCTTCTCTGATTCATATCTATGTTCATGTTATTAAGAAAAACATCGCATATGCTATCATGTGTATCGTTATCCGTTGGTCCAGTCAAGTTTAAGTTCCTCCTCCTCTCTTACATTGCCGAGGCAGCTAGAGTGTTAACCGTAGGAGCTGCGGACGGTTTCCTGCTGTGCCTCGGTTCATCTTCTCCGCTGCCCTCAGGCGAGTCTTCCACAGCAGCGCTGCCCTGGATCCGGCGCTTGGCCTCCTTCTTCTCGGCATCTGTAATCTCCTGCTCGTCCTTGCGCATATCTGGAGTCCACTGTGGCTCATCAGGAGAATGGCCAACTGACATACCAACACGAACCTAATCATATAGTTAGTAACCAATGGATCCCCGAGTAAGGTTTCAGTCGATCATGCTCTACTTACCAAAGTCTCAAGGGCACTGCTGGAATTATCAACCAGATCATCGTCGTACAACATCTTGCCAGGTTCGAATAGCAGCAGAATTGTACTGCCACCGAATTTGAAGTAACCAAGTTCGTCCGCACGCTTCACTTGTTGGCCGGCTGTGGCCGTGATGACAGTGCTACCCACCATCATAGCTCCCACGCAGATCACCATTACCCTTCCATGCTGCTCGCTATCAATAGGGACGAGAACACGGACGTTCTCACCATAGACGTCGAGTGCTGAGCGAATGGCCATTGGGTTCACTGTATAGTATTCACCCTCAATTGTTCTGGGCTCGCCCATTATTCCATCCACCGGCATGTGGAAGCGGTGATAATCTTGAGGGGCCAGACGGAAAATACCCAGGGATCCGCCATCAAAGCGAGAGACATCCTCGGGATAGGCATCACCAAGGAGTCTCTTCATGCTGAACTCACGACCCTTGACCCAGACACTGGTCGCTTGCGATATTTCATTGAAGACCACACTGCGGCAGTCTGCAGGTGACACGATGATCTTTGAGTTGTCCGGGGCAGAGCAGGGTCGAGCGCCGGGCTTCAGAGCTCGGTAGAAGAATTCATTGAAGTTATTGAACTCGTTGAGAGGTAGGAGCACCTCCTCCATATTGAGCCTGTGAAATTCAATGAACTTCTCAATTTCTTCTCGAGATGCAGGATCATCAAATTTCTTGCCCTGCTTGATGCTAAGGTTCTTGAGCATTTTTCGGACTAGAATGCCATGGTTAGTTGCCGGTTTGCTAAACAATGTATCCTGCGGTGGGTACTTACTTCGTTTGTTCTCCATTTCACGCGACTTTAAGCCCTTGTACAACATTCTAATACCGAGCCTAACGTAGACACTCATCTTTTCTTCATTAATCTGACCTGTGATTCGGTCTTGGACAAGAATGTTGGCCGAGTTGGCTCCAAGCTTGTAGCCACCGTATGAGATCTTCGTGATGACTTTCGAGTACCACTTGCGCTGGGCCTGGCTGGCTGTGACAAAGCCGGACACCAGAACATTGTTGACTTGCCGCCAATCTTGACTAGCACATGTGGCGATGTGAGTAATAATGTCTGTATCGCTGCGCTTGTTGAGACGGGGCTGGTGACAGATGGGGCATTCTCGAATCTCGACGACGTGTTCCTCATCATTGAGGTCATCCCGATCCGGGCTGTCGCTCTCATCCCCAGCGATCCGGAAATCAGAAGACGAAGCATTCAATGTGGGTTCCGATGCCTCGATGGAGATCTGCGGGGTTGAGGTACCAGAGGCGGAGGCACTACCTGGGTCACCAGACCTGCCGAGCAGATTCAGGCTCTTCATATCAGGCACCATCTTCTTGAGTTTGTCTCCTACACTCTTCGGTTTGCTCTTGGCTTCAAGCTGCTCCTCAAGGCAGATTACAGCTTCATCCATTGTCAACTCCCACTCTTCCTCATCGCCATGAGGGAATCGTTGGAAGAAACCGTCGATGGTCGTTTCCCTCAGCGTTGAGCCAATGCTGTCCAACATGGTCGTCATCTCGACCCGGCTGATGCGCCCACTTCTATCAGTGTCGTATTGTCGCAGGAGAGCACGCCAAAACTGCTGTCGGAGTGCGGGATAAGCCATATATTTAGCCCGCAGATAAATAACCGGGCTATGCTTGGCCTCCCACTTGTCCAAGTTCTTCAGAACCAGTGGAATTTCCAGATCAATGAAGTCAGGATCTATCTCGTCTGCGTCTGACATTGGGTCTGTCAGCTCGTTTGTAGGAGTTGAAAGGCCGTCGGCAGGTGGTGCTAGGAGAGTCCCACTGGCATTTCCGCTGCCATTACCGTTGCCGTTGCCACGACCAGCAGCAGCGTCTCCAGCGACTGATGGAGCTACGGAACTCGCGCTAGACGCATTCTTGGATAATCCGGGGCGGATTATCTTGCTCAGACTTGACGTGGAGGAGGTCCTTGACAGACCCAGGCGCTTGAGACGGCTCTTGCTTGATGATCTCTGTTTGCTCAGAGCAGAAGGTTCGCGTAGCTCATATAGGCCAGTCTCAGGGTCCGCCTTGGGAGCCTTCTCAATGATCTCTCGGATCGGAAGAGTGCAAGAGGCCACAAAGTCATTGCCCGAGTACTTGTCGTGGTCAATGACGGTAAAGGCAAAGGAATAGGCCTTCTCGTGGGGTTGGACCTGGAAGATCATCTTCTCGTTGTATACGGGGTTGAGACTGTGCCGGATGCGTTTGGTACGATAGGTCTTCTTGCCCAAAGAGGCCACAACAAATGGGTCCATGTCAAAGCTCGTGCGAGTTAGGTTTGACTCCGGAGGCAGATCTGTGATTCGGCAGATTTCAAGGAAAATAATACCCATGACATCAGAATCGCCGTTGGTGAAGGCGTAAGGGTTTTGCTTCCTTTTTCGAAGCCCCTTGATTCGAAGGCGGCGCTTGCGCTTGTCCTCGGGATCGCCGCCAATATCACTCTCCTCTGCGTCCAATTCCAGGTCGTCCTCTTCATCATCACTAGTCCCGCCTCTGGAGGAAGAAGCTGGCACAGATCTGGGAACGATGGTCGGCGCGAGAACAGGCGTCCTGCTAGGAGTAATGTTTCGGGACGAATCTAGCCCAGGGCCTGGGGCGGATCTGGCCAAGTTGCCCAGCTTGTCAAGAATCTGGCGTGGGGTCGCATTCTTGCTGGATGTGTCGATCAGTGTAAACTGAAGCTGCAACTCGCCCGAGACGTAACCCGTCTTCTTCCCTGGACGTTTACTCCGGAGAGGGTACCACTTTGGCTCTTGGGCAGACCTCTGGTTGGCGAAAATCTCCTCGAGAGCGAGATCAAATTCACCCATATAATCCTTGCCAAAGCGGTCCTTGTCCCAGCAGACCACATCGAGCAGGAGGTTCTGGTAGGAGGTGATGGGGATCTCCTCAATGGTGTTCCAATCGGGATTGAGAGTTTTAGGGACTGTGTGCGTTTGGATTCGTGAATCGCCGCAAGTGAGGACGAGGTACTGCAGTGATACGCATCATTGTTAGCTTGCGAAACACTCGGTGCTCATTGAAAGCATAATGGTCGGGGGAGTATAGCTGGGAAGGTTTCAATAGCTTAGAGCAGCAGAGACTTACGGGATCCGATGTTCCTGACCGATCTTTGGCTGCCAAGTTCCGGCCCTGGAAAAAAGAAGCGTTAGCGTCCCAGATCTCAACATTGATACAACGGCGATCAAGATATGCGAGGAAGCGGCTGGCCCCGAGAAACTGCTAGACATTTCCATGGGCCGCATTGCTAGGCAGGGGATTCTCTGGGAGTTGGCGAAGCTCTAGAGAGCTTCTAGGAGAGCGGAACCATCGTGGGCTCAGCGATGTGGGAGAGCTGTGTGGGAGAGGGGCGCCAACGGCGGGATTCAGGCGTAGGGCAAGGTGTGTTTGTTTTTAGCATACCCTCATAATAACGACCTTGAGAACAAGGCCGCTGGGCGAGTCAGGCCCGCCCTTTGGTAAGTCGACCTTGGAAGCCATGATTTTGTTTGTCGTCGGACTGGAGGTTGGGGGTAACGAGGAGGAAGGGGAGTAATAAGAGGGAAGAAGGCGGTTTGGAACGATGCGGACCATGGTGACGAAATCCCTGCCCCAAACAGGCGAAGGGGCCACCAGCAGCTGAGCTGGACCCCAGGACGTGTCCAGTCAACCAGTGCACACGCCGACGAAGCCACAGGCGGTGATCCACTGCGACCGCACAGCTACAGCAGCTACCTACCTAAGACGGGCGTTGGCGTTGGCGCTGGCGCTGGGAGCTTGGCGTACAGGCCAGTGGGGAAGAAGGGGGGGGATAGCCGCCTGCCGTTGGTCGCTGTGGGGTCGGGACTGATCACTGGCGATAATGGTTGTGCGCGCGGATCGATCGATGCTTCCAATGGATTGGAGGGCGGGTCCTACTGTACCAAGCAAGGCTGCTAAGAAAAAGGTACTTGCAGCTGCACAAAGGATGGCTGACTGGGATTAATGATGGCTGCTGCAACGGGCGATCAATGTCCCTGGCACACCCACCCGAAGTGCAAATACCTGGTCAGCATCCGTGTCAGCGCGCAACCATGGCACCTCAGTTCAGCTCAGGCATGGAGCTAGTAGATGGGAGACGGCCAATGCCAGTGGGTGATTGTTGGGCTGCATGATCGTACCGGTGTAAGAAGCAAGCTGGTTGACTTTGGAGCAGACACTAGCGTACCGAGTGCACCACTTCAGACTGTTGAAAATAAAAATATAAATAAATAAAAGGCTGAGGAAATGAGCAGATGCGGTGGTGATTTCCGCTCACACGTACATGGGTCCGTTATTTTTGGTTCGGCCGGTTTGGTACCTATTTCTCCGTGGCAGGAGTCGAGGGATGGATGGTTACAGCTGCACGCAGGACATAGGGTCACAGATACCGAGTGTCGTGTGACATCGCCATGCAAAGACCAGGCTGGATAGTGCTTCAATTGGGGTCGAGGAAGAGTGGGAGAAAGGTGCAGGAAGCTGGGACAGAGGCAGCGGCCAGAAATGAGACTAAAGAATCACATCAAGGAGAAAGGCAAGGGGTCCAGGTTTTGAGCGCGGCGAGGAGAGAGGCGTCGTCCAGTTTTTGAAGTATCCATTCCTCAGCCCCCCAAGAGGCATTGGCCGTGCTCTCGGTCTAATTCAGTGTTAGCCATAAGCAAGGGGCGCTTCAGCGATGGAGATGTACTTCAATGGACGGGGACTAGAATGCATCGTATTCGTGGACAGCATGCGATAATAGGCTATAGCGGCAAGCGGTCTCAAACAGCCCGGCCGACCTGTACACCGCAGCCAGCCAAGCGATTCGGTTGATGCCACCCGTTGGGGGATGGGGACAAACGAGGGGTTGGCGGTCAATGTGCCCCTTTCCAGCAGGGCTGCGGTTGATGGGATGGCATAGGGCCAGTTGCCAATCACAGGAGGCTACCTACTTCTGTTGTCCTGCCTTGCCATCCATGTCTCATCTCTCGAACTTGTGACGAAACAGCTGAGAACTGAGCAAGACTGATTGAGGCGAGAGCCTCGGCAAGCAGAGGCCTGAGCTGAGAGAGAGCCGGGGCACTGTAGGCAATGAAATGGAATGGAACGGAAATCCCAAGGCAGGCAAGTGAGCTGAATGGAAGGGACCAACAGGCAGGGCCGAAAGAAGCCTTGTGGTGTTGTGCTTTTACCTCAGGCTGTGGCACAGGAGCTTCAATTGGAGGCCAAACGACACGAGCTGCTGGTACCAGTACTTGGGCCTCCAGCCCAACCCCAACATCAGCGTGCGGCAGAGCCCTAATGCCGTACCGAGTGCATTAGCAGCCCGCCAACCCGCCTGGAGCACGGCACCCTCATCCGAAGCCCAGGCGCACTACACAATTGAACAGCTAAGACCGACAATAGCGTCTGCCTCATTACCTGCAACTGTCACTGGTAGGTACATAGTTCGCAATAATCAGCAGTGCCTCTTCTCAACAGCCAATCAACTGATTCTCGTCTATTTGATTTATTACAGACGAAGACGGATTCCCAAGATAGGTCGTCGGAGCATTTCGCCAATGATGGTGAGATGCCTCAAAATGAGGTGGCTGTCACAGCATAAGCGTTGTCATAATCATGCTTGGCCAACATCAAAGTCCATCCCGGTCAAGTACCTTTCATACCTGCATACTACCCCAGGGATCTGCCACCAGCTTTGCCAGGCTCTAATTTTACTCTTTGAATCTGCGCCTGCCTACCATTATGTTGGTTCAGGTCTTGTGCTTTGCCGCCGCCAGGAATGTCAGCATCCAAGGTACCGTCAGAAAATAAATAAAGAAATGGCAAAGGGGGGAGAAGAAACCAGCAGCCATTCCCCAGCCGATTTCGACCAACGTTATCTCCGTGGACCTACTGGGCCATGCCAAGTCGAAGTTCGTATGTACCTGCTCCATGTAGATGTCTTGTCCGTCACAGACGGCGTCCGGGCCATCCGCAACCTCCTTGGCCAACAACACTTCTTCGACTTCTGTCCGCAGTGGAACAGTCCCGTTCTGGCTCTGCCGTCATCGATTGTGAGGACTAGGTACCCTCACTTAGTGCAACGCTAGCTGGAAACAAGATGCCATCCTGCCCAGTGTCGGAAAGTTCCTAAGCAGCGCTGCTTTTAGATTGAGCTCCTTCCTGCTTAGCCTCACGCAACTGAGCATATCACCTATATAAATTATACTAACACTATATATATATATATATCGCTTTCTTAAATCCACTATGAAATGAACTATAGAGTTAATAATAATTACTTATAGCTATTTTAAAAATAGCTATAAGGTGTGGAAAAGAGAAAATAGAAATATCTAGATAATTACCCACGGCACTGCAGTGGTTGCTGACTCAGCTATCCTGTGCACAGGTTAGCTGAGTCAGCATTGATCAACGTATGGTGAGACGCTTTCCAAGTGTGGTGTCTGAAAGATATCCGCGATTTGAAGCCAGAGGATCAGTTCTCCTGCATTGCTTTACGCAAGTGAATACCTAGTATAAGAGCTTATGAATTACAGACTCCAAATTGACTATTACATTTATATTCCTTCCACCAACTCTACCCGTGCTTAATATCTGAGAGAGATCCCATCGCTCCCCAATTCTTCACCAATTGATGATCCTTGGTTGGCCCTATATACTAGATCTATCCACATCCAAACTTTAGGAAATGTATTCCATCAGGGGAGCCCCCGGAGCCCAGGGCCTCTCCCCTATCATTCCTAGGCTTGCTGCTTCCGCTAGTACTAAGCCCTTCCCTATTACTACCTGACGCCCGAAATTCGTCCCTCCCACCGACATGCTGGCCCAGGCAAGGACAAGTCGCCTATCCTAGCCATCTACTCTTTCAAGAGACGGATGTTCTAGTTTCTCGATTATGCCATCAGGGGAGAACCTGACACCAGTGGAGTAGGCCAAGTCCAAAGTGAATACTTGCAGCGATAAGGCCAAGGTATATGCTTTCGGATAGCAAGTTAAGAATCAGCTCTCTTGTTCTTCTGTCTCCTGCACTGTGAGCGAAGATTGATCCCATGTGGACAAGAACTTGATTATCCCGCGCATTTCAGAACAAGTCCACCTCTGACTTTCATCTTTTTGAGGCTCGGGACAGCTTTGGGTTGCAATCTCCACGTAGACTGCCGCTCGAGGTGGCTTGACGCCTTTAATTCTATACTCTGTAGAAGCATAGTACAACCGTGTCGGTGATTGATAGGTGAGCACCGTATCTTCACCCAGTCGGCATTGACCTAGTGATCGTCGAGTCTGATTGTCATATGTGAGAATCATACCTTTACAGAAGGTTTGGCTGCGAAATAGTTTCACTTCAACTACCCCTCTCAAGGGGGCTGTGGTCAGATGGGCGTCCCTAAATGGGGGATTATCTGGTGGAATCCTAGAATACGTAGTACGGAGAGTCCTCCCAGGAGAGACCCCTGTAGTGCAGAATCCTATGGTAGGAATATGGACGTAATCATCGCCAGGGTGTTCATATACGAGAGTAGGCCGACCCTGGATTGGTAAAGTAATATCGACCACTTGTCCAGTATAGGATGGACCGATAATATAATTTCCAGAGCGTAAATAGACCTATTAGATTAGCCTCAATCTATCTGATTAAACCTTTCTAGTTCTTACCACAAAGCATGGGGTTACATAGAGCCCACGTATGACTTGAAACCGAAGGCCTAAGGAGATTATTTTCTCATTCTTCCCCAGGGGAAGATAAAACCAAGTGCTACGGGCTTGGACTCCAGGTATTAGGGTAGTAAAGGTCTCAAAGGCAAACGGACTTCTTGAGGTATGTGGATGAATACTGGCTATCCCGCTGCTCATGATAAAAAATGTAAGGCCATGGCATTGTTTCAGGCTGATAGTTGTAAGGCGTATAAGATGAGATGTCTGAGCTGATCGTGGTGGTTGAATAACACTCCGCCGTAGTGGTGGAGCAGGAGTGTCCCATAGATGTATGCCTGGCATATCTAAATTACTTAACCGACCAAGGCCAATCTATATACATATATTAGCAAGATATCTTTGATCTACTAGCTTGAACTCACGTCAAATTGCACTCTAGTATTGTAGACCTGCGTAGCTTCCCTGAATATATAACTAAAATGACTAGAGTGTGTAGAGAGTGCCCCTGATTCTGGTGGTTTTAATAAGCGGCAGATCGCTTTAAGTCCTCGGGCATCAATGGTTAATCGGATTACGCCACGTTGTCTGTCTTTCGATAGTCTCGGTTGGGTCCCCCGATGCCAACTTTCTATCTCGACAAGCGGAAGAATTATCGATGAGGCTTGGGCCAGTTCCAGCTCTTTTATTAGCTTTATACTAGATGCATAACGCCATAATGATGATTGTGGACCGCAGAGCTGAACAACCATTGCTTTTATTTCATTTGGTAGAGTTATCAGGCGGGGTAGTAGGCAGATGTTGCTTGCCATTCGGATCAAATCATCAACAGGATCCTCTGAAGTTAGTAAAAGTGGTGGGGAATGAGGCCAAGGATTTCTCCAAGTGGCTGCAACCCAAAATCTCCGAAGAGCGCCATCAGTCAACAATCCCTTTACAAGATTGAAACAGTCTGTATGACATGTTATGCTTTCGCTCGTAAGTGGGCATTGGCTGCAGTATGGAAACCGGCAGAAAATATAATTTCTGTTCGGCTGATCACAACGGTCGTGGTCTGTGAAGACACCAGCATCAAGGGTGATGCGGGCTTCATTACGATATGTCACTGTACTAACTTAGCAGCCGATCTTTATGAGGAATTCGAAATTGCTATACAGGCAGTTATCTTTTCATCAACCTGGAACGACGCCCCGCAAGCGCCACACTGGTGGTGTATGTGAATGTGCGGCAAACTCATGGCCATTTTCTGGATGAACGTGAGGCTATGGCTGGTGTCTTTGACGGTCTTCCGGTGGTTGCAGCACAGCGTGGCCGCTTCAAGGAGGAGAAGAGGAAGAATGCCGAGATTCAGTACAAATTTTCGAGATTGAACTATGGCACAGCTTTGATGGGAGATGGTAGCTGTGTGAAATCCTAATCTGCACTTTGATGAGAGGATTGATGCCTGAAATGTTGGTGGAGTACCAACAAATGAAAATGGCTGGATTTAAAAAATGACAGGTAATCTAAGACACGACTACGGCTCAAGCTTCCAAGTATAACACCAATTTTAATGCTTCTAGCGCACGTAGCATTGTATGTTTTTTGTTGGATGTGCCATCATGTTCCAGTTCTCTAGCTGGAATTTGAGATCAATTCTCTTCTTATCCGCCTTCGCATAAGCATACACATGATTACCGCTTATTTTCCTTGTCCTGATTTCAATTACCCTGTCGTCAAATCCATCCGTAGGACTACCACTGCTACTCTCGCCGTCTCATGCTCGGATTTCTCAATGTCAGTATAACCTTCACATTCTAAATGCTTGTTCCTCAACAGTTAAATGTCTGCCGGTTCAGTCCTTCCTTTTTTTGCCCAAACATTAAAAAGGTCTTTGCGGTTATCATTCATTACCTCTTTAGTAACGTCGATGCATCTTTGACTCCCATATGCGGCGGGAGGTTGCCCTAAACTAACAATCTATCCAGGTTATATACTTTAAGAATATATTACCGCTTAAACCTCCTTAATAAAGAAAAAATATTATAAATATAACTGCAACTATTCTACTTATATAATTTATCTGTATAGCTTAGATACTTAGCTATCTAACTAAGATGTTATATTCAACTAGTAACTGAGTATGTTACTGGGGCGGCAAGGGCGCTAGGACTAAAATGGTCCCGCCCCAACTCATTTCGCAGGTCCAGAACACATTCTCTGGGCAATTGATTCTGGCCACAGTCTTCTACCTATTGACCGTTCTCTCGGCCTCTCGATACCCTGTCTCCATGCGGGCCTTCTTCCCTCCGTCTTGCTTTCATGTGTCAGTCGCTCTGTCATGCGAGAGAGAGGCTGTGCGGGTCTACGCGTACATAGTAATTACTTTGGGGACCGGACCACCAGATTTTGAGGACGCGTACCTGACCTCACATGTCACCGATATCTGAAGGGGGCTCAGCTGATGCCCCCTATCGAATCTATCGAAACCCTAACTGACGAGTCTGATACAAGACGCCAGCCTGACAAGAGAAAGCACAAAGCAAAAGGCCTGGCTGAGACGAGCTGACCTGGGCTGAAGCAGAGTTGGCCGCCACAAAACCCCCATCGTTTCACTTCTTTCTCCCTCCGTCTCCCCGCAATTGTCCCAAAGCCACAAGTTGGTACAAGAGGATGGCTTTCAGCGACCCACAGATCTCTGACCTGTTTTCACGCCCGTTTCTCCAATGAACATTAGCACCGACGGTCTAAGAATAGCTATGTCGCCGATCAGCTCACCAACGCCATCATTCTGTTTCCTCCGCTGCAGCGTCTCTTATCTGTTCACTTCTCGTTGCCCCCCCTTCCCCTTCCAATGCCCGAATCCTCCGTGATGTTGTCCACACACGCACACACCCTCCATATCCGTGCATGTATCATGTCTCGCTCCCATCCATTCCGCGGGTGCCCAGCCGCTGCTTTAGAGGCCGCTTTCTTGGCAGATGACGACGCCTAGAAGATCCGCGCTGGGCGTTCCCGTGTCCGCCTCCACAGGTTCCCGCCGCCCGATGGCTTAACATCATTGGCTGTGTCGTACTATGTATGTATAGCCTCAGAGCAATGCCGGATCCTCCGATGATCAGCCAAAACAAGGCAGACCCGCTGGTAAGACTTGGTGACGCTGATGACGACGACGTTGACGACAAGACACTGCCAAGCTTGAACAACAGGAATCATATCCTCTGTTCACGGCATCCAATGTGTCTGAAAATTAAGTAAAGAAATGATCTGGATGATGGTAGAACAGAAAATATCAAGTTTCAAATAGCGAGTTCTAAGAAAACAACTAAGAAAAAGCAGAGCAAAACAAACCGTCCAAAACAAGTACAAACAAGCATGAGTAAAAAACAAAAGTGCGCTTCCCGCTTGCTAAACTCCTTTCCAGACCAAATGATATCCAAATATTACATCTCTATCTCTCCTTCGCCATCTTCCAGTTCCTTCGTCTATGTCGTTCCATCTGTAAATCATTCGTGAAATCGTACAAGAGGATATAAAAAGCATATCCTCAATAAAATGGCCTCCAAACCTATGCTGAAGGCTCCCCAAGCCTCTTCAGCACACTCACTGCATCGCTATACAGCATGCTCCGGTTCGCGAGGCAGTCCGGGCTCAGGATATCGCGAGCCAGGCAGACCACCCCGCGGACACACCTCCTCTTCCGCCACTTGAGCAACTGCTCCGGCCGCCGCTGCGCTGCCTCCAGTATCCACCGCGCCGCCTCACTCCGCGATGCCTCGTTGTGCGCGGTTGTGCCCTCTCCGTCGTACGCCCGGTGTTGATCACCCGCCTCCCGCCCAAACGCCCAGCAGATGAGCGCGCACACGTACACCCCCCAGTAGTCCGAGACATCCCTCCAGCGTGCCCTACTGCCCCGTGGCGGGGCGCTGCTGTCCACGTCTGATGACGATGATCCCGCTTCGCTGGTCCTCCGAGTCTTGGCTCTGATGCGGAGGAAGACCAGCAGGGCCCGCGCGGCCCACGACACGGCCACGGCGGCGCTCTCGGACTGGCACCACTTGTCTAGCGTCTGCTTGTGCTCTCTAAACTCGTTCGGCCCGGGGACCTTCCTGTTCAGCACCCAGCTGTTGCCGGATACCGAGAGGAGGGCGTGCAGCGGCGTGAAGTGGATGGCCAGGTAGGCCTGGGCGACGCCGGACGCGGGGAACAGCTTGGCGAGGCGGGAGGCCGGGGACGAGGGGGATGAGAAGGCCTCGCCCGCGTCCATCTCGCCCGAGCCCGCCAGCTGCGATGCATACCCTGTCATGAGGATCGTGGCGTCGAAGCCGGACATGGTTGCCACGTCCTGCGGCGTGAACTCGTCCGCCAGGGTGCGCCCGAAGGGGATGCCTAGGCTCGGGTCCGAGTCCACCAGCCTACTCCACGACTCCCAGTCCGGGCACTCCCACAGCGGGTTGGTGTTGGTCGAAAAGGGCACCTGGTTCATCGGCAGCGAGGGGTGGTCGGGCCCCAGGGCTAGTATGGGCGGCTCTTTGAAGTAGGCGGACGTGTGCACGTCAAGCATGAAGCAGGTGGCTAGTAATCGTCGTCGGGTTTCCGTCTCAACCCAGTCCTTCCATGATAGTAGTTTGTTCCCGAGCACCAGGAGCGGTAGACTAAAGGTGTGATGTTTTTCCACAAGCTGCGAATTCGGAGTCTTAGCAAGGAGGCCAATATGCGGGAAGTGGCAGAACCCGCTCTGCGGGGATGGTAACATTCAGGGGGGAGGGAGGTCGGGATGTCATTAACGTACCATTTCGTATACTTTGCGGTAGTTCGAGGACGGCTTATAAGACTGCTTGTCCCGCCCCCTGAACCGTGCATAGTATTCGCAACAAACCACAGCCTGCATAATAGGTAATGACCAATGTTTTCCTTCCGTGAACTATATTCGTTTTAGTCTCGCCCATGGCCAAAGAGTGAAGGAATCATGTCCGTCTGACTACGACGGAAATTGGAAGGGGGAGGCGCAACTCACAGTCTTCAATTCCTGGCATGCAAAAGCATGCAGCTCACTCCCAGCAATCCGGTGTGCCTTGTCGTCAAGAAATTGCGTCGCCAGCGCCGCCATGGCGCATTTCAAAAGCTCAAACGGCGTGGCCTCGCCGTCAAACAGGCCGCCGAACGAGGCCTTGTGGATGTACGGGTAGACGGGGTACGTCCGATCCCAGTACACCTCCAGATACGCCGGGATGGCGCTCTGGACCTTGCGGCTGAGCGAGACGGGCGCGAAGACGTGGGCGGCGAACAGGCCCGTCATCTGCCCCGACTCGCTGCCGCACGTCGAGAAGAGAGGGGTGGTCGCTACTGCGCATGGCGAGAGCGCCGCGAGCGCTATGTCTAGAGTCTCAGGTGATTGTCCCTCAACCAGCAATGGGGGAAGACTACGCACAGTGGAATTTGCGTGGTGGTGCGTGTCGAAGTGTCCAGGGTCTGCAGCGAGGGGCATCCCGCACAGATCCACAGGATACTCGCACGCAGTTCCCGGCGCGGTGGGATAGTACAGCATGCTCGTACTCATCGTTCTCGGGGCCCGGTCGTTGTTCCAGGTCCCGGGCCCGGGGGGGAAATTCATTGGGGGCGGCACGCTGCCCATCCCTTGGCCCTCGGGCCATCCAGCACCTGGTACATAGCCTGGCACGCCGGGGCCGTACGGATTCATGTACTCTTGAGGGGCGGGGTGCTGCATTTCAGAGTCGGCATCCGCAACCCAGGGCGCTGAGCTAATTGGTATGGGTGGGCGATAGCCTCCCGGCGCTACAGGAGATAGAGTTGTTGGTGGCTCTTGCATGGACTGGCTGTAACTCTGACCGGGCTGTCCACCGCTACTCATGGGCGACATTCTAGACTCCTGTTCACTTTGGTGGGGGTTAGATATGGAATACTCGTTTTACCTCACCACATCCTCGGTTCATCTCTTTTGCCAACTTACTGTCTGTGTTGGTGGCGTTCAAGAAGGTCCTTTCGGTGAAAGGTCTTTCCGCAACCTGGTACGCTGCAAACCTGTTCAGGAGGGTTATGGCTCAACTGATGTCGCCTACAGTCGGGGGAAAGGATCCCATTGTTAGCAAGCTAGGACAGGAAAGGTGAGGAAGATCAGTGGGAAGAGGCCAACCTCAGGTGCTCGGCTCTAGTGAAAGTCTGTTTCGTTTTCAGCAGTGTCAGCATCAGATCCGAAAGTCATGGTGAGGATGAAGGGGAGTGTGTTATGTACCTTGCTGGGTT